TTTCTGTTTAGATCCTGTTTCTTGCTGGAATTTGTTCCCATTGGTGTGAGTTGTACTTCACTGACGGCTGTTCTTTCCCAGGGAAGCCAGGCATTCCGTTAGTTCACTGCATCCTGAGACTCTGGGACACTGATCAGCAATGGTTATCTCCAGTGTTCGCACAGAACTAGCTAGCCTTCACCGCAGAGTGGCCGTGAGCAGTGGGGAGACTCAGTACTGCTCGTGCTCATTCCAGGATCCTCAGGAATCTTAGAGCCATCACCTGCCGGCAGTCTGAGTCCCGTTTTCCCTCTTGCCTGGGGACTAGCTTCCCTCTAAATACGCATGTGTCTGCGTGGGCACGCAGACTCTGACACTCACCTGGGTGTGGGTCTCTGAGCCTAAGGCAGGGGTCTGGGCACAGGAGAGCACCCTGTGCCGAGGGTAACCCACAATGTGTGTGGCCCAGCGTTAACATCCTGACAGACACTGGTCCGGGTCGAGAGCAGGCAGTACGAGAGCAGGTCTTCACAGATACTGGTCATTTCACGGCTGGTCACTCCCTAGAATCAATGATTCTCATTTTTTTTTTTTTTTTTTTTTTTAAATATATTTTATTGATTTTTTACAGAGAGGACGAGAGAAGGATAGAGTTAGAAACATCGATGAGAGAGAGACACTGATCAGCTGCCTCCTGCACACCCTCCACTGGGGATGTGCCCACAATCAGGTTCATGCCCCTGACTGGAATAGAATCTCAACCTTTCAGTCCGCAGGCTGGCGCTCTGTCCACTGAGCCACACCGGTTTTGACTCTAGTGACTCTTCTTGCACGTCGTCTCTGTTACTGACTGTTATTGCTATTACTCTTAAGGAAAATGCAGCTTATACAATACTAGTGATCGTCCTTGAAGATGCTGCAGTATCTTTGCAAATTCCCATCGCTAATAATGCATCTTTCTCCCTCTGACACTTGAAAAATGGTGAGCTTGAATTTGTAAGTCAGTGATCTTTCTCCCCCTGTGTCTTCACTGCTGTCCCCCCAACCGTCTCTGTCCTTTGCCCTGGGCGAGTCTCTTCCCTTTGGGGACTGCCCAGGAGACTCGCTCCCTACGTGTTTGGGCCAGTCTCCTTTCCCGCTGTCAGAAATAACAGTGTCAGCTTCTGTACAAAAACTCTGTCCTTCGGGCTGTGCCGTTAGAATATCTCAGCAACAAATTACCGCGTTAAAGGAAATGAACATTTTCCAGCTTTTATTGCCTAGTTCAGTACTTCTTCTAAAACACAGAACCAGTTTACAGTATATTAGCAACTTTTTAGTAAACTTGAATCTCCATAGCCTCATCAACATAGTTACTGTAACTTTGTATTGCTACATCAATATGTATCTGAGTTAAGTTTTAATTTTCCAGTGCCCAGATATTATTATGTGTTTTGGCTTACTGTCTGCATTTCCCAAGTATAAAACTGAATTTTTCTTTTTCTTTTTTTCTTTTGTTAAATATATTTTATTGATTTTTTTACAGAGAGGAAGGGAGAGAGATAGAGAGTTAGAAACATCGATGAGAGAGAAACATCGATCAGCTGCCTCCTACACACACCCCACTATGGATGTGCTGACAACCAAGGTACATGCCCTTGACGGGAATCGAACCTGGGACCCTTTAGTCTCAGACCGACACTCTATCACTGAGCCAAACCAGTTAAGGCTGAATTTTCCTACTTTGAGTATCAATTAAATGGAATATGCATGTTGATTTTATATGAGTATACTGTACCCTTGCAATATTTTTTCTATTGCCTTCTGTTTCATTACACGTTTGGCCGTATGTATTCAATGCACCCTTCTCTGAGTAATGTAAGTGTTCCATTTTCTCCCAATCTTGTTGGCTTCATATTCAGTGCTTTGACCTATGTATGCTCTAGAGTGATGAATGATCCCTTACTGTGTTTATGTTTATTAACTCTTAGCTCATCACCATTGTTACGTTCTTTCTGATTCATCTTATAATAGTTTTAACTTTCTTCTAGAATCTTAAATATACTACTGTCATTTGTTTCTTCCTTTGTCTTTCTCCTACCGTGTTTCCCCGAAAATAAGACATCTTCGAAAATAAGACCTAGCTCAACTTTGGGAGAAAAAATTAATATAAGACACTGTCTTATTTTCGGGGAAACAGGGTAGCATCATAAACTTGTGCTCGTTGTTGCTTTGTAAGATATTTTAAACCTGATAGACTAAGCCTACAACTATCGTTACATTTCAAGATACATGTATTTGTTGTACTTTGCATATTTACTCTGATAGATGTGTTCTGATTGCAATTTATCAAGTTGTAAAGTGAATTCTACAGGAACTTAAAATCCATGTTACATTACATCCTTGTGATTTATTGGGAAGTATTAACTTTATTTAGTCCTTTCAGCCAGGAATTAGCAATTTCCTTTTTGTTCCTATCTTTTTTATTCATATTATTAGGTATATAAATTTCCTAATTAAATGTTTAATGAGCTAAGTTACTTAACCCATTTTAAATATTTTGTTGATTTTGTAAATCTCTTCTCTGGTGTTTCTACTTGGTCCTAATCAATAAGAATGCAGTGATTTTTTTTCTTTATAGCCTACAGCTTTTCTTTCTTTTTAAAAAATGTTATTTATTGATTTGAGAGAGAGAGGGAGATGGATTTGTTTTTCCACTTATTTATGTACTCACTGGTTGCTTCTGGTATATGCTCTGACCGGGAATCAAGCCCACAGCCTTGGTGTATTGGGACAATGCTCCAGCCAACAGCGCTACCTGGCCAGGGCTGACAGCTTTCTAATATCCTTTAGGAGTGCCGGTGTTTTCATTCCTTCCTTTCTCTTACATCATCAACCAGTCATTTTGTCCTCAGTATTGACTGGAAAGGCCTTCAGTGTTACGGTTTTTAAAAAATCAACTCTAGTGCTTCACCAAGTAAAATGTAAAATCTATAATCATAAAAGCATAATATGCTAATTAGACCGGACATCCTTCCGGACAAAGCCAGGCTGGAGGGAAGCCAGCGCCGGCAGCGGGAGAAGGAAGGCCTCCTCTTGCACAGGGGCCTCCAGGATACCTAAGCCCGGCCGGCAGCTCCGTGGTTAGCGCATCATCCCCATACACCAAGGCTGCAGCACATGCAAGCGTTGACCATTGAATGCATAAATAAGTGGAACAACAAATCCATGTCTTTCTCTCTCTCAGCCTCCCTCAATCCCCCCCTCTCTAAAAAAAATTTTTAATCTTCATTCTGCATGACTTTTTACAACAAATATTTAATTCAAAGAATTGTCTAAGATCACTTTCTCCTTGTAGCATGCCTAAATTCCATTCACTCCTAGATAACACTCTTCAGGCTCAAGAACAGCTGGTTGTAGTGGCTGTACCAGTGTCCTCACGTGGGTTTGTGGTAGCCTGGCTGTGTGGTGCTCTTCCGTAAGGCCGCACTCCGCTGCCGCCCTCCCGCCCCCCCCCCCCCCCCCCCCGTCCCCTCCTCCCCAGGAGCGGCTCCGGTTTCTAGTGATGCAGATCAGCCCCAGCGCCGCCGGCCTGGTCCTGGCCACGGCTGTCAGCCCTAGTTCAGAGCGCTTTTTTCTTTGCAGGTCCCAGGCAGACATTTATTTTGCTCCCTACTTGCCATTCTTTTAAAAACGGGACAGCTGGCATTCTCGATTGTGAGTGAGAGGTCCTCTCTCATGCTTGAGTGTGTTTTTTTAACTGATCATTTTGAAATTCCTGGGATTGTCTATTCCTAGGAAATTGCAGAAATAGCATAGAGCTGTCCCGGGGACCTTTCACCCAGTTTCCGCCAGTGCTCACATCTTACTGGGCGTTTCAGGGACAGCTCTGGTTTCAGCAAGTGTCCTCATCATTGTCTCAACCCAGGGCCACTGGACTAGGAGTTGGTTAGGCGACAGGAGTCTTTATTTTCTTTATGTGGAGGGAAGAGGAGGGGAGAGAGGGCTCCACCTACTTATGCATCCATTGCTTGATTCTTTTTTTTTTTAATATATTTTATTGACGTTTTACAGAGAGGAAGGGAGAGAGATAGAGAGCTAGAAATGTCAACGAGAGAGAAACATCGACCAGCTGCCTCTTGCACACCCTCTACCGGGGCTGTGCCTGCAACCAATGTACATGCCCTTGACCGGAATCGAACCTGGGACCCTTCAGTCTGCAAACCGACGCTCTATCCACTGAACCACACTGGTCTCGGCCATTGCTTGATTCTTGCATGTGCCCTGACCAGGGAGCAAACCCACAACCAGTAGGGCATGCAGGAAAGCAGCCTCCTGATGTTGCTCTCTCCAACCAATGTTTCTCTCTCTCAAAATAAAAAATAAATAAATAAATAAAATACAAGGGCTAGTGGAAGGCATATAGAACTATTTCCCATTAAGATACATTCACACAAAAGTCTAAAGCATCTGCAGAGTTTAGGTGGAAAAGGAAGATGTTAGTAAGTGGAACTAAAATTACTGCGAAGAAGCTTATTGTCCTTAGTGACAATCCCATAAACCATAATGGAGAGCTTGTGCGCCATGAATCTGTGACTTGTGATTGATTATATGGCCTTCACTAGAAACTGCAAGTTTTTTAATTTCTGACATGTACTGGGTGAAGAGCACTGCCAGCTTCTGTAGTAAAGCCGAATTCCCAATTCCACCCACCCTCTTCCGATTTCTCATCTCCTGTGACTGGTGGCCAGCCCGGCCCCCTCAGCCTCGCTCCACGGTTTTGTGCTGCAGGGGCTTTGAGATGGGCGGTCAGTCCCGCCAACCGGGGTGGCTTCAGAGATGAGGGTGCGCGAAGGGGACTGGGAGTCACTGCCACGAGAGAGGGTAACGCAGAAAGCGGCAGTGCTCTGACCCGGCGGAGGCCCCACGAACGTACTCACAGAGGTTCTGTTTTTTCTCCCCTTCCTCCCTCCCTCTGTGCACATTGCTGATGCGCTCCCACCCGACGGCTCTGCCCAATGCCCACCCGGGGTGCCTTCCAGCTTTGTGCACCGAGGGCCCTCGCCTCTGGACCTCCACTTGGGCATGTTCCTGCCCACCTTGCTTCACCAGGCGACTGCGGAGCAGCAGGAGCGCTTCTTCATGCCCGCCTGGAACTTGGAGGTCATCGGCACCTATGCCCAGACCGAGATGGGCCATGGTACGCTGCGTGCGGTCTGCGTTCTGGGTCTGGCGGGTGCTGCAAGCTGAGCGCAGACGGCGTGCCCGCCGCGTGCTCGCCGTGGCGTGTGCGAGCCGTTTACATGTAACCTTTCTGTGGAAGCCAGGTTATTCAACGTACAAGTCTCAGCAAAGACACTGCTTTGGTCAGTGAAAGTGAAAGGTTACATGATCACAGAGACAGGCTGGTTCTCCTTTCCATTGCTTCCCCGTTAGGAGATCAATAATGACAAGCCAGGCCTTGCTCAGTGGTTTTTTGGGTTCACTGGAGTTGCGTAGAATGTATGCATTATAGACTCCGAACCCATCTTTCTTTGTTACTATCTGATCACCCTTACTATGGATACATCATGAACTTGCAGAAATTCCAGAAGAAATACAGATTTATAGTATGCGTGCTCTCTGATTTGCTGACGGGAAGTGAGTGGCTTATATAACCAAAACATGCAGCATTTTATACCTGGAAGTTACTTATGCCTTGATCCAGTAAATTCGGTGAAGTTCTAAAGCTGGCTTCGCCAAAGTTCAGGAAAATAAGGTTAGCTGTGCCCTGGCCGATGTTGCTCAGTGGTTGGAGCGTCGGCCCTTACACGGAAGGGTTGCTGGCTCAATTCCAGGTCCAGAGCTCACACTGGGTTGTAGGTTCCTGCATGTTTGATCCCAGTCCTGGTTGGGGTATGTGCAGGAGGCAGCCAATTGATGTGTCCCTCACATCAATGTTTCTCTCTCTCTCTTTCTGCTGGTACCCCTCCCTCTCTTCCATTCTCTCTAAAATTGGAAGAAATATTCTTGGGTGAGGATTAGCCAAAATAAAGAACAAGATCGGCTGCGCCCCCAGGCAGTTGGCTTCTCTCTGGCTTCTCTTTCCCTCAGAGGTCTCGGGACAGCTGGTCTGTGTGGTTGCCATTTCTTATTTCTGTGCCGCTTCATCTCGTCACAGCTGCTCTGCCTTCGGCTTCGGTGCTGAGTGCTCTGGCAAGGCTCACAGTGGATGCCATTTGGTTCAAATGTGCATTTTTAAGCACTTGGTTGTCCTCCGTTCTCTTCAGTGTCACCTCGTTCTCTTAAAGGCTGCTGCCTTGGCGAAAGGCGTCTCCGTGTCTGCTTCCTTGATTCCCACTCGGGAAAGGCTGTGGGTCCCACGGAAACGGTGGCTGCGAGCTCCTGGGAAGTTTCTAAACGTTGGAGTTTCCGTGTTAGTGAGACCCACCCAGCCTGACTCAGCTGTTTGTGTTCTGAGGGACTGGCCTTTAAGGGAAAGGGCACATCCGCGTTGGGATTTAAACCAAGACTCCCGCCCCCTTCAGCAGTCACGGCACCGGAGCTCTTCCTGGCACCCCGGAGAGCCGGCGGCCTACGTCTTCTCCCCACATCTGACACCTTTCGCAGATCTTGTTTGCCATTCTGGCGATTATTCTGAAACAAACGCTCAATTTGCAAGACACCCAGCTAGAGAGTCTTTCCTGTCCCGGTATCTCACTCTTTGTAGCTGTCGAGGAAAGCACAATAGGCTGCGTTGACGTTGGCACACTCACACTTAGAGATGGGCTTAGGAGGGCATGTCCTGGGATCTTAGAGACTAGGATCCTAAGCTGCCTCTACTTTTACTTTTGGGTGCTCTAATGATGTTGCCTGGTTAGGGACAGGGAGTTACTATCTTGGTTTTCAACCATGGGCAGCTCATCTAAAAACACTGTATAGTCGTTAGAGCTTAGAGGACCGATTATCCTGAGATGTTAGACTAGGAGGACTAGTCGGGAGATTGTGCTCTGTGCCTCTTTTCCCTCATGTAGCTGATGTGCATGTGATTTATTCCCCAGGGACTCACCTGCGAGGCCTGGAGACCACAGCCACGTACGACCCCGAGACCCAAGAGTTCATTCTCAATAGTCCAACTGTGACCTCCATCAAGTGGTGGCCTGGGGGACGTAAGTGAGCTTTGGAGCAGTGACTGGATGTTTGAAAGATCACGTTTAGAATGGAGAGCTCATATGAGAATATCGTTTTGAAATAATAGAAAAAGCTTCTTTTTCTTAATAGAAAAACTCCAGGCTTAACTATTCTAAGCTGTTTTACGTTCTGCTGAGCGTTACAGATCTTATACCTCACAGAGCGCAGGAAGGAGAGCTGTCTGTCAGCTTCCATCGAAGCGTGTCTGAGTGTGAGCGTAGTTTACATCATCATCATTCAGGTAGCCCTGCACTCCCTGTGCGGTTAGTCATTTCTGTATTGAAAAGCACTTGAGTTATTTTCAGATTTTTATCATAAGTAAATTTTACATGAAACTTATTTAATATTGTCTTCCATTCCGAGTCATTGTCTTAGGATACATATTTCAGATGGCAATAGTGCTTGAAGGATTTTGTTATTCACATTATATATTTTAATATATTTTTGTAAGAAACAGACTAGCATGCACCAAGAAGACACAAATTCTGGAAGTACTAACCAGAAATCTCCTGACGGCACTGGCCCTCAGAGCCTTCTGCACAATGGGCGGCTTTCACTGCTGCTCAAGGTGCTGGGTGCTACAGTGCACCCCAGTGGAGCACCCCGAGGGCCGCTGGTTGGCAAAGGAATGGAATCTTTTCTTTCTTTTATTTCATTGTAATTAACACAAATGGCCACAGATGTCTGGCGGCTACTGCTTTGGAAAGCATTACTTTGTTTATGTAAATGAGAAAATAGAAAAGAGAGCTGAGTCATCTTTGAAAATAAAATACTGTCGAGGAATTGTACATTTTAAACTTAGATGGTATTATATGTCAGTTATCCCATTAGTGTATGTATCTACACTAATAAAAGAGAAAGATGCAAATTGACTATCTCCACAATGCTCACCAGCCAATCAGGAGTGAATATGCAAATTAACACAACAAAAGGGCAGGTTAATTTACATACACAGGCACAGAGTGAAGACTGAAGGTTCCAGAAGCCTGAAGGCTAAAGGCTTGGCTCCACTGAAGACTGAAGGCTTGGCTCTGCTGTAGCCCGGGTCCTGGGTGCCAGAGGAAAACTGGTGTCAGCAGCCTGGGAAAGGAATGCCTCTAGTGTGTGTGTGTGTGTGTGTGTGTGTGTGTGTATGCGCGCGCGCGCGCACACACACACATATATATCTATGAAAATGGAGGATTGCTCTGCCAAAGTTCCATACATTTTAATAACTCTCATCTTAACACAGATTTTCTTCTGAAAACAGTGTGGCGCTGTGATAAGAAAGGCTTTCTGGCACACTGTCAAGAGGCTAGCATTTCATTTAACATGTTTTCTCTTCCATTTCTGCCACTCGGATCATGTAAGAACGGCTCACTTGTGTCTCTTGTTTTTTGATGTTGCAGTTGGAAAGACTTCAAATCATGCGATAGTGCTAGCCCAGCTCTACACCCAGGGGAAATGCTATGGGTTACATGCCTTCATCGTACCTCTTCGTGAGATTGGAACCCACAAGCCTCTGCCAGGTTAGAGTTGTTCATCTGATGTTGACATGAAAACTTAAACCGAGCACTTTCTTCTGCAAAAAGCATAAAACCCAACTAAGGGAGAGTGGGACAGCCAGGGTTTCCAGAGCAGAGACCCTGGTGACTTTCCTTTCTCTCGTGGTAGGCATCACTGTTGGCGACATTGGCCCCAAGTTCGGCTATGATGAGATGGATAATGGTTACCTGAAGATGGACCATTTTCGGATCCCCAGAGAAAACATGCTGATGAAGTATGCCCAGGTGAGTGAGACGCAGGAGGAGCAGGGTGTTGGGTGCAGGGTGCTGTGTCTGGTGCTGACCTCAGGGTTAACAGGGTCTGTTTCTAGAAGCAATCAACGTAGCTTCACTTCTGATGCTGCCTTTATTGTGACAGTGAAGCTGGCAGCCATCGGCAGGTCTAAAGAGCATATTCTGGTCGGCTAAACCAGCGGTCTCAAACTGGAGGGCCGGCTGAAATCTACAGTGCTCTGCCCCCTGAGTTTCTGATTTAATGAGATTTTTAAATTTATTTTATTTTATTGATTTTGAGAGAGTAACATCAATGTGAGAGCAGAAACATCTACTGGCTGCCTCCTACACACTCCTATCTGGGATCGAGCCCACAGCCCAGGACTACGCCCAACCCATTGAGTCACACCGGCCAGGGCTTTCTGTTTGAAACAAGTTCGCAGGCGATGCCCCTGGGCTGCTCTGGGACCACACTTAGAACCACTGGCCTAGGCTGCCTCTTGGAAGCTCAGCCCCCTGACCTTTTCCAGGTGAAGCCTGATGGCACCTACGTGAAGCCCGTGAGCAACAAGCTGACCTACGGCACCATGGTGTTCATCAGGTCCTTCCTCGTGGGCGAAGCCGCCCGGAGCCTGGCCAAGGCCTGCACCATCGCCATCCGATACAGCGCCGTGAGGCACCAGTCCGAGATCAAGCCCGGGTAAGGGGGGCCGATGGGCTCATCACTGACCTCCTGGCTTTGAGCCTATTCGGATACCGAATCCCCTGATGTGGTGCAGAGAAGACGCCGTGGCCATAGACTGAGCTGGGCTGGCAGCGTGCTGGCCTGCTGCTTAGAACCTGCATTTCCTTTCCATAAGCGGAAAGAGGAGAGGACCACTTTATTGTTCTTAACCTGCCAAGAAAAACAGGAATAATGTTACTTGAGCTCTACTCAGGAAATGTTCAAAACAGTGAAGGCAGCTTGAAAATTCGAATTGCTACTAACAGCGACAAATCGGGCATGGTGAAAGCGACATTGAACTTGGCTCCATATTGTGTCCATCCCCGTAGTTTATCCCTACTACTGCCTTTCACTCCGAAAGAAGGAATAAAGGAATCGATAAGAGCAGACCTTAGAATTTAAATATTTAATTCTGTGCACTGGGTCTTCTCCATAGTTATGGTCAAAATATAACTTATTCAGCCATCTAGTTAGCAGGTTAGATCTCTTTACTATTGCCTTCCTCCTACAAAGTTAATTAACTTTGCTTTTGTATGTTGTTGTAAGATAGTTTCCATAGTCACGCTGGAAAGACAGAAAGATCGGAACTTCACAGCTGGGAATGTGTGTCCACCTACGACGGGGGGTTAAGAGCATCTTCTGTGGCAAACGTAGCCTCACTGTAAATCGAGGGTCTGCCCCTTACTAGCTGCGTGAGTGCAGCTGGTCCTGGACCTCTCCTTGCCCATCTGTAAAATGGGGTAACACGTGTTCCCTCCCAGGGTCTTTATGAGGATGAAATAAGTTAATCTGCCAAAGTGCTTAGACTGGAGCCTGGCTCAGAGTCTGTTCTGTATGCGTGTATAATTTCCCCCCTTTTTCTATATATCTTAGTGAACCGGAACCACAGATTTTGGATTTTCAAACCCAGCAATATAAACTCTTCCCACTGCTGGCCACTGCCTATGCCTTCCATTTTGTCGGCGCCTACATGAAGGAGACCTACCACCGCATTAACGAGGACATCGGCCACGGGGACCTGAGCGAGCTGCCCGAGGTGCGTGGGAGGCTCGTGCCCTCGTGGGCGCCCTCCCTCTCACGTGTGCCTGTTATATGGCGTCCAGGGGAAGCACGCACTGGTGTTTCTTGAATGCTCCGTATATTCTCAAAAGATCCAAGAAATTCTTCTGATTGAATGGAGTTAGCTATGAACACATGTAGTGTTTGTTTTTATCATTTTTGTTGATTTCAGAGGAGAGAGAGAGAAACATCAGTGATGAGAGAGAATCATTGATCATTGATCAGTGGCCTCCTGCACGCCTCACAATGGGGATGTGCCCTGACTGGGAATCGAACCATGACCTCCTGGTTCCTAGGTTGATGCTCAACCCCTGAGCCACGCCGGTTGGGCTGTGAGTTTGGTCTTTAAGTTTCCCAAGCGCTGCACCGTGTTGGTCGTCTGTTAACGAAGGGAACACAGTGGAGACTTTTGCCACGTAGAGCAGTTCCGAGGGAGCGTGGGAGGGAGTGGGAGGAACCGGCAGGAGATGCCCACGCTGCTTCTGATACATGCGTGGCAGGTGATTTTGAAAGCGACCCGCGCTGGCAGGGAGGGTCAGTGCTTCTCCTCGGAACTCCGCTGTCGGCGCACGTTCTGACGGCCTTGCTTGCCCTCAGCTCCATGCCCTCACCGCCGGGCTGAAGGCTTTCACCTCCTGGACAACCAACGCCGCCATCGAAGCCTGCCGGATGGCCTGTGGCGGGCACGGCTACTCTCACTGCAGTGGCCTCCCCAACATCTACGTCACCTTCACCCCGACCTGCACCTTCGAGGGCGAGAACACCGTCATGATGCTGCAGACCGCCCGGTGAGTCCTGGCCGCGCTGCCCGGCCCGTTAGCTAGAGCGTTCCAGTCCTTTCCACCGGCCCCGGTTACCGTGTGTGCTCTTCACATTAAGTGTGACCCTTACAGACGTCATTGCGCCTTCTGCCCGCACCCACTCTGTTGATCTTGTGATCAGACAGAGTGTAAAGCTCACCTGTCCCTTCACTTACCCTCTGAAGGGTTGGTTCATTCCTGCTTCTGAGAAGCAGCCACTGAACGCTGCGTCTGGCTCTAGGTTTCTGATGAAGAGCTACGACCAGGTACACGCGGGGAAGCTGGTGTGCGGCATGGTGTCCTACCTGAACGACCTGCCCAGCCAGCGCATCCAGCCGCAGCAGGTGGCCGTGTGGCCCACCGTGGTGGACATCGACAGCCCCCACAGCCTCACCGAGGCCTACCGGCTCCGGGCGGCCAGGTGAGCGCCCCTCGGGCGGCCGTGGGGCCCGGGCAGGCCTGACGGAAGAGGAGGGAGGCATGGGCACCGTGGGTCCCTTCCTCTGAGCTTCCGTTTCCTTTCATTTCTTAACAGATTGGTGGAAATCGCTGCCAAAAACCTTCAGACGGAAGTGAGTCACCGGAAAAGCAAGGAGGTCGCGTGGAACCTGACTTCCGTGGACCTCGTGCGAGCAAGTGAGGTCAGTGGTGGCGCTGCGCTCCCGGCCCAGCCCCACCCGCCACCGCCTCCCTGTCCGGCAGACGGGGCGCTGGTGGCGAGCCCTGCAGCGTTCTCACCTCTGCTGCCCTCTCTCTCTCTCTCCTCCCCCCTCCCTCTCTCCTAGGCGCACTGCCACTACGTGACGGTAAAGCTCTTCTCAGAGCAGCTCCTGAAAATTCAGGACAAGCCCATCCAGGCCGTGCTGCGGAACCTGTGCCTCCTGTACTCGCTGTACGGGATCAGCCAGAAGGCCGGGGACTTCCTCCAGGTCAGCGTCTCCTCCCGCTGACGGCTCCTTTCCTTCGGGAGAGAAATGGTGTGGTCTGATTCATCGTTGTGCGTGCATGTCTGCATACAGGGGCGGGCAAACAGGTTTGCAGTTGTGCGTATGGAGAAAGACACGCAGGCTTTGTTATCGCAATAGTGTCGTAAACTCAACGTCACGACGCAACCGGGAACCTCTGCTGCCCGCGCCGGACAGACATACACGCCGTTTGCGTGCTTTTCTTGCAGGAGAACATCCTGACGGACTCCCAGGTCACCCAGGTGCACCAGCGCATCAAGGAGCTGCTGACCGTGATCCGCCCGGACGCCGTCACGCTGGTCGATGCGTTTGATTTCCAGGACGTGTCGCTGGGCTCCGTGCTGGGCCGCTACGACGGCAACGTGTACGAGAACCTGTTCGAGTGGGCCAAGACCTCCCCGCTCAACAAAGCCGAGGTAACGGCAGTGTCCTCCCCCGGCGACTCCTCCGGTCCCTGACACAGCAAGGCCTCTGGCGGGTCCGTCTGTCAAAGCTTGGATAGCGCGTCTCCGACACGTGGTCTTAGGCGACCCTGCTAGCGGATCTGTAGAGCATAAGACCATCGGAAAACACAGATATTTACATTATGATTCATAGCAGTAGCAAAATGACAGTTATGAAGGAGCAGCGAAAATAATTTTATGGTTGGGGTCACCACCACACGAGGAGCTGGATTAAAGGTCGCGGCGTTAGGAAGGTTGAGAACCTTCCGCTGCTCTAAAAGATAAGGATTTTATCATCAACTACTCTGTGCCCCAAGTTTCCCAGTTGGCTCAATTCTATCCCCCACCCCCCACCCCCAATTCTTTGGATCAGGGTCCAAGTAAGGCCCTGATAATTTCTTGGTTAAAAGTATGCTCTTTTAGCCCTGGTCGATGGGCTCAGTGGTTAGAGCATTGGCCAACCACTGAAGGGTCTCAGGTTCAATTCTCAGCCCCAGTCTGACGTTTTTCTCTTCTCTTTCTTCTCTCTTTACCTCCTTTCCTCCCTTTCACTCTCTAAAAATCAGTGGGAAGAACATCCTCAGGTGAGGATTAACAACAACAGAAAGGGCTTTTACACTGCAAGCACCTGATCAGTCCCTTCTCCCCCTGCCTCCCCTCAGGTCCATGAGTCTTTCTACAAGCACCTGAAGCCAATGCAGTCCAAGCTCTGAAGGTCACGGCCTCAGTCCTCCTCGCCCCCTGCACCTGTCACACAACCTGCACGGAATCTTGATCCATCCAGAGAGCTTCGGAGCACACGATAAATTGACCCTTTCCTCTGTATCAACGAAGAAAACAATGAACAGCTTTCAGAGATTAAATGAAAAATCAAATGTTTCAAGTGCAATTAACACTAAAAAGACCTGCTAAGCATTCAGAAAGAGCTTTAAGAAACGCAGTATGATTCCCCTCGTAACACTGCTGATCCCAGGCCGTAACTTTTGATAATTCATAGTTTAACTACCGAGTAGTTAATTTTTCACTTCTTAATTGCTAATCACTGGATAAGTGTGTTTTTAAGCAAAGGTGTTTTTAAAGTGGGGGTAGAACCCTTCTGAGCTTTCCTGCTGAGTGCCCTACCCCTCCCACCATGGGCCCTGGCCTAAAAGCAGAACGAAGAACCGGGATTGGGAGAAATAAACTAATCAGGAAATTTGGTGTGAGTCCGTGCTTGACACATTACCTGCCTGCTTGCCCTTGATCGCTGGCGTTTCTCTGATCGTTCATAGCAGCGTGATCCAACACAAGGATTTCTTCAGCTGAGGCGCCCTGCGAGGTCATGGTCTGTGAGCTGGGAATTCTTCCGTTCACAGGACCCTAAGCTGTCACAGCATCGTGGGAAGAGGCAGGTAGCAAAGTTCTCTCTCACGGGACCCTTGGCAGCTGATGGGACTTCAGTCAGTGGTGTTTGATCTCCTGCCCTCCTCCTCCTCATCCTCCTGGAGGAGGAAAAAGAGAAAGAGGTGCAGGGAGTAGAGGGTTACGCTTCCCGTGACTTCGGTGACCATACTCACTGGAAAGCCTGGAACAATCCAGGTTGCATACGTGCCGTCATTTTGGCTAAACCGTTAACATGCTTGGAGGTCCCAGCACCTGGCAGGCGGAAGTAAAAGCATCACTCAGGTTACAGCCTCTCACGCCCGGGTTAGCCTAGAAAACCCTTCGCAAACCATGTGTTCTGACTTGAATCAGAAAAGATAATCGTTGAAACGAAGGCTGAAGGATAAATGGAAATTGCCTAGAATCTTTCTTCCTGTACTTCTGGTTTTATTTTTCAGTGTTTCTAGGCGTTTTATCTGAACTAAGTTGTCCTTTCAACTGAAACCTAATTGACACAATCATTCTATATGTAAAGTAAACATGTATCTCTTATTGAGTTTTATTCTTAAAATCAATGTAAAACAATACATCACTTGATTTAAAAAAAATTTTTAACCTGTTAACGGTGTCTGTGAAACTAGTTGTTTCTGCCTCAGGAAACTGGTTGTCCTTGAGGAAGTGCTGTAGTTCTTGGGAATTATTCCTCTCTGGGGACCTGATATAAAATCTGTCCAGGAACAGGAGAATTTTAGGCCCAGCAGGAATTCTTGTCTGTTGACACCAGCCTTACTCACTCCAGGAGAATGAATTGATAAGTGTGCTAAGATGGAAATAAAAAAGCACTATGCTCATCTCATTTGATTATTTCTTGACAGTAGTTCAGATTCTGAGAAATAATATTTACATTACCGGATATTGACCTGTTTAATACAGAATTGTTTCACAATCAGTGCTTAAGCACCTTACCCACAGGTGAATGTCTGTAATCAGGATCTGTGTTTTAAATACATGCACCTAATAAACTAAATCTGACCTTTGATACTATTTTTATTAATATTGGAATGTTTTGTCTTGAACTTGACTCACTGTAATCAAAGAATAAAGATGTAGTAAAACCTCACTGATGTGTACTGTCTAGAGGCCAAGAAGGTACCACCTAATTGAACAAGTTCACAGTATGAAGAGCTTTAAGGTAACGGGTTTATGAGGTAGGTAACCCTGAGAACAAAAGAAGGTGTGAGGCCTGCCTGAGCCCACCATCCGCTGGCATTGCTGTGTCTCGGGAGCAAGGAGCGCTCTGATCCAATCAGAACTGGTTTGTTGAGGACTGACCAGGAAGCAGCGGGTCCAGTCTGCTGTCCCCAAGGAGGCAGACTTGGCCATAGATTAAGGTGACCAGACATCCCGCTTTTGGCGGGACAGTCCCGATTTTTAACAATTTGTCCTGCGGTGTTTTAAAAAAAAAATCCCTATTTTTTCCAAAAAACGCTGCGGGACAAATTGTTAAAAGTTGGGATGTCTGCCGAAACCGGTTTGGCTGAGTGGATAGAACATCGGTCTGCGAACTTAAAGGTCCCAGGTTCGATTCCGGTCAAGGGCATGTACATTGGTAGCGGCCACATCCCCAGTGGGGGGTGTGCAGGAGGCAGCTGATCGATGTTTCTCTTTCATCGACATTTCTAGCTCTCGGTCCCTCTCCCTTCTCTCTGTAGAAAATCAATAAAATATATTTATTTAAAAAAAAAAAAAAAGGTGGGATGTCTGGTCACCTTACCATTGATGTTTGTGTTGGGTTCTTGGAGTAAGTTAGGTTTTCAGAGGTTACAAAGGTAAACTTCACCTGGTCTCTTCTATAATGATGAAGATCGAGTAGAATGAACAGACTTTCCTATTAGAGGATCCTGATCCAAGTTTTTGTGAAAGTTCCCTGAGCAGGACTCCGAGTCGGAAGTTCAATGGGAAACTCGTGCTCTTTGTGACGGAGGAAAGTTGATTCTTCCCCAGGTGCCTGGAGCCCTGTCTCCCCTGTTGGGTATGTGCTGAGGGGTACTTCAGTGTTTGAACCTTAGTGGCCTCCGGACACTTGGCCCCAAAGCCGTGGGGCCTGTCCTGTTCTTGTTCTCGGGGCGGGACATTCCTGCGGTATCAGCCTGCTCCAGCACACTTCCGCTGCGGCTTTAACTGTGTTGACACGCACTCTGAGAACTCGATGCCCGGAGTTCCAGGTTCTCTCTCTGGAGGCACTTTGTAATTCCTGGAGTTGACATGTTAGCTCTGAATCCTTGCCTTTCTTCAATGAAGGGCTTTGGCTGGAGAAAGAACTGTTCAAGTTCACGACCCCAGAGTTCCCTGGGGAATGCTGCTCAGTCCCTGCTCCCCTTTCTCAGTCCTTTCCACCCACCGTCTTAGGAAGGGAGAGAGCAGACGCAGATCTTCCTAACGCGGCTGCTCTTTTTGCACACGTGGAGGCCTGCCTGCAGTGAGCGGCTGCCCTGAAGCAGCAGCTGCTCCTGCGGCTGGAGAAGGAGCAGACCAGGAAACGGATTATCCCACCTGAGAGCAGGAGTTTTTTGTTTTTTTAAATCTATTTTGTTGACTTTCTACAGAGAAGAAGGGAGAGGGATAGAAAGCTAAACATCGATGAAAGAGAAACATCCACCAGCTGCCTCCTGCACACCCCCCACTAGGCATGTGCCCGCAACCAAGGTACATGCCCTTGACCGGAATCGAACCCGGGACCCTTCAGTCCGCAGGATGACACGCTATCCACTGAGCCAAACCAGTTTCGGCAGAGCAGGAGTTTTTTATCCTCCTGATGCCCAGAAAGGTGTTAGTCATTTTCATGGAGTAACACCAAGATTTCAACTAATTGATTGTTTACTACTCAATATTTTACTTGGAGGATTAGACCAAGTCATAGATAAATGACAAAAATGATTTTTTCATTTTAAAATGGTGGTGGTGGGCCAAAACCGGTTTGGCTCAGTGGATAGAGCGTTGGCCTGCGGACTGAAAGGTCCCAGGTTCGATTCCGGTTAAGGGCATGTACGTTGGATGCGGGCGCATCCCCGGTGGGGGGTGTGCAGGAGGCAGCTGATCGATGATTCTCACTTATCGATGTTTCTGACTCTCTATCCCTCTCTCTTCCCCTCTGTGAAAAATCAATAAAATATATATTTAATTTAAAAAAATAAATAAAATGGTGGTGGTGGTTTCTCACAGCCAGCGTGCCTCAGTGGTTGAACCAGGAGGCCATGGTTCAATTCCTGGTCAGGGCACAGGCCCAGGTTGCAGGCTCGATCCTCAGTGTGGGGCGTGCAGGAGGCAGCCAATCATTGATTCTCTCTCATTGACATTTCTCTCTCTCCTGTCCTCTCTGAAGTCAATAAAAATGGTGGTGGTGGAGTTTAGCTTTTAGCTGTGCATACTTATTAAATTTTTCAGTAACTATTTCTGTGGTCCATGATAGTAACAGAATTATAAGGAATCTTCGGAGTGAATTACCAGATGTTAGCTGTTGCAGGCCGGCACATTCCTAGATTCTAAGGGGTTTTGTTTGTGTGATTTTCCCTTAAGTGAACCATTCATTACCTCAGGGAACCATGGAAAACTGGAAGTGATTTTAAGAAATCTGAACCAGCCCTGACCAGGTAGCTCGGTGGTTAGAGCACTGTCCCAGTAGGCCAAGGTTTGTAAGCTCAATCCCCAGTTAGGACACATGCAAGAATCAACCAATGGATGCATAAATATAATAAGTGGAACAACAAGTCAATGGTTCTCTCTCAAATAAAAATATTTTTAAAAATTCTGAACCAAAATAAGTTATTTTGCCACAATACTCTCGACTTTCATAGATTAGGTAACAAATCTTCCACATAATATTCAGACTGCTGACTACTTTGTGAAAACCATTTATTTACAATTGCTGTGGAGTCAAGGATGGGACCTGTATCTCTTGGCATGTATAATTTCTTTGCTCCCCTTTTTCCTTTTACTTGTGGTTTGAGTTTGGTTTTTCCCGGACAAGTTGCATTTGGCTTGCATTGTTGCCCTCCCTGGCTGGACATTCAGCGGGGACAGGAGGACAAGGTGCCCAGGTCCATAGCATGTCAGTGGCGGTTAGACACGGGTAAGCCAAACCACTAACCCCTTTTTCCTTTGTTAAGTCGAAAGACCCCTAATAAAACCTGCAATTAACACAAAAAGTGTTGTGTGTCTTTTTTGGTGATGGTATTGCAGTGGTCGGCAAACTGCGGCTCGCGAGCCACGGTTTGCAGCTCTGTTGACTAATGAGTTTGCCGGCCACTGGTATTGGCTTTCATTCTGGCGTTGCATCGTGGATTTTAATTGAACAGTTAGGTCACGGCCACTTCCCTAAGCTTTGGAATGTGGGATAAATACACAATTATGGCTTAACGTGTCCATCTCCTAAACTTAACACGTTTCCCACGCCCTCCCACTCACGGGTCAGCACACGGAAGAGTGCTCGGTCTTAGAACTCAGATATGTTCGCCTTGGAGCCGGAGGGGCCCTTTTCCCAAAGCGGCGTGAGACAGCTCCTAGCAACGGCCGAGTGGCGACCCGAGGCCGGGTTTCGACTAACGGCCGCGCCGGGGCACCCTGGGAAATGTAGTTCATCTTAGCGTCCCCTGTTCCCTTGGCCCCGGCAGGTGAGCGGGGCGCAGACTACAACTCCCAGAATGCCTCGTGCCTCGTCTTTCGAAGTCCGGGCGACCGCGAGGGAGGCGTCAACTGGGTTCCGAAGCGGAGGCCCGACCGCGCTGGGCCGGGACCCTGGGCCATGGCTCGCCCAGGTCCCGGGGGCTGCGCCTCCGGAGGGAAGGGCGCGTAACCCGGGGCATGTCAGGGGCTGGGAGGCTGGGAGGCGGCGCTGCGGTGGAGATGGGCTGGGGGCGCGCAGGGGCGCGGCCACTCGGGGCCGAGGGCATGGCCCCCGGAGGGCCGGTGCTCAGGGGCCGGGCCCGGGATTTTCAAACGACCGCCGACCAGATGGCGCTCTGCCTCCCTCTTAGAGATCCCGCGGCCTGGGGGGCGGTCCCGACCCCCGGGAGTGGCCGGAAGGGCCTGGATGTGCTGCGAGAGGAAGCGCGTTTGCACGTTTAGGTCGTGAACATGGCCTTCGCGAGCACTCCGACGGGCCCCTGTGTGTGACCCCAGATAAACTTTGCATCCGAATCACAGGACAGGCCGGCAGCGGAGACACAGCGATGGCCCCTCCGACCCCTTCCCGGGCGGCCCGCAGGTCGGTCCCGGGCGCGGGCATGGGCGGGCGGCGCCCCGAGGAAGAGGGACCCTCCTGGAGGAAACACCTCAAATGGGGCGAGCGGGGCTTGCAGCTGGTGTGGAGGGAGAGATTCCCACGTGTGGCAGACACTGTGTCCCGTCAGGGGGCAGCCGGCACCCAGGCCGCTGTTTGTGCTGAATGCGTCCCAGGCAGCCTGGTGCGGGGTGCTGGCCACAAGGCCGGGCCCCGCTTTCCTTTCTGAGATGGCACCTGCCGTCTCGCATCCTCCTTCCGGTAAGGGAGGCGGAAAACTGCACTTGGTTTGGGTCCACACCAGCTCACTAGGTGACGAGAGCACTTGGCTTCTCACCTGGATGACTCCCCGTAAGGAACGTTTAGTTGAAGGAAGTAGGTTTCGGCCTCCGATGGGCAAAGTGAGGGAGCCGTGACAGGCCTCGGGATAGCTCAGTGGCACGTTTCTGAGCAGCCCCTGTGATCGCCTTCATTCGGGAGCAGGAGCCTGACGCGGGCAGCGTTCAGATGAGTTGGATCGTGCTGTGAGGAGCCGCACGCAGCCCCCGAAGCCGTGAGATGGTAGGCAGCGTGCAGGGTGAGGCGTGTGGCATGTGGACCTGCCCCACCCCACGGTCCTGCCTGCACGGAGTGCTGTGGGGCTGGTGACGGGGACCCGGATGTGGTCCCTGGAGGAGAGTGACGGAAGTCGCATTGGTCTCAAATTTAATTTTAAAAATATATATATTTTATTGACTTTTTTATGTAGAGGAAGGGAGAGGGATAGAGAGTTAGAAACATCAATGAGAGAGAGACATCGACCAGCTGCCTCCTGCACACCCCCCAACTGGGGATGTGCCCGCAACCAAGGTACATGCCCTTGACCGGAATCGAACCTGGGACCCTTCAGGCCGATGCTCTATCCACTGAGCAACACTGGTTTCAGCTCGAAATGAGCTTCTTGTTAAGCTCCGAGCAGGCATGTCTCGGGGCCTCTGCATGCCCCGCGGGAAGCATTGTGAAGCCTGTGGCTGGTGTTGAGCTGGGCTGTGGGATAGAGGGAAGCATTCCCAGTCACGGCATCCTGGCTGGGAGGGTTTGCCAGTGGCATCTGAGATTCAGGGAGGAGAGACTTCTGCCGGAGGGGGAGGGGGCGCCCCCGTGGCACCCCCGGCATTAGTGGGGCCGTGTTCATGCTCGGATTGAGTGTGTTCTCAGAAACTCTGGGCAAGCAGGGCGGGCTCGTGTGCTCCGTTCCCCCCGGGGACTTAGCCAAAGACAAAGCGTTTCGTCCTGTGTTCTCGGCTTCCGTGACGTTCTTTGTTTAATTTCATTCTCCCATTGTAGGCACCAAAGGCCAAGAAAGGATTGAAGGGTGAGTGGAGAGACGGAACATCGCCCGTGAACCAGAAGGAATCCCCCCACCGTGGTCCCGATGTGTCTGTGTCTGAATGTCTCCGGTGGTTCCCCCATAATCCCCGGTGGTTCCCCCATAAATCCCCGGTGGTTCCCCCATAACCCCAGGGGCAGCTTTGGTCCTCGGGGGACTCCTGATGCTGCCTCAGTGGCCCTTTGCGTAATTCAGAAGTACACGAGGGATGAGACTTGGGGGGAAAATCCCCTCACTGGGGTCTGTACCCGGAGGTACTAGGTTGGGATTAAAGGTGGGGAAGGCCCTTGAGCTGGATGGGGTTCCCACGTGCCCCCCGGAGAAGTGGCCAAGGAGGCATGCCCCCAGACCGGTGCTGGGGGAAGGGGTCTCGGGGGAAGGACTCTAGCGGGCCATAAACCCGGACGCTTTTCCCAAGGACACGCTGGCTTTGCTCAGAGCCTGGGAGGCTGGCTCGGTGGCCAGCATGTCACGTACACGTAGGTTCTGCTGGAAACCTTCCTGTCGTCCTTCGGGAAAGTTGTTCTCAGTCTCCAGAAGGCGATGGGACTTGTTGCCGGGGAATTAGACGACGTCCCGTGGCCAGTGAGAGAGCGAGGCCCGAGGCCGGCGTCTGAGGCCTCCGGGGACCGCCCCTTCCGCCTCACGCCGGCCGCCCCCTCTGTTCCAGGCTCCATCGATGCCGTCCTGGAGGACCTCCTGGGGGATGAGAGTGAGTGCCCCTTCCCAGAATCCCCCGGTCTAGGCTACTGCTTCTTTAATGGAGATGCATTTCACATAAAACTTTCTCTTTTAAAGGGTATGTAAAGTCTGTTCACAGAGTTGTCCAACCATCACCGCAGTCCAATTCCAGCACGTTTCCATCGCCCCAGAGAAACCCAGGCCCATCGGCAGTCAGCCTCGCTCTCTTCCCCCGTCCTAAGTGGCTTTTCTCTCTCTACGGACTGACCGCTTTCGGGCATTTTTTTTTTTTTAAATATGTTTTATTGATTTTACACAGAGTGGAATGGAGAGAGATGAGAGTTAGAAACATCGATGAGAGAGAGTCATCGATCAGCCGCCTCTTGCACACCCCCCACTGGGGATGTGCCCACAACCAAGGCACATGCCCTTGACCGGAATCGAAACCCGGGACCCTTCAGTCCCCAAGGTGACGCTCTATCCATTGAGCCAAACCAGTCTCGGCCGCTTTCAGGCATTTTATATAAAATGCATCCTGCGGTATGTGGCTTTGCCTCTGGCTTCTTCCATGTACCAGGATGTCTTCAAGGTCCCTCTCTCTGTTCCTCTCCAGGACTGGGCGATATTCTGTGTGGATTCGCCGCATTTTGTTCATTCAGCCATTAGTTGATGGATCTTTGGGTGTTTTCCACACCTTCCTAGGCTGTTAGGAATAATGCAGGAACATCCACATACAAGTTTTTGTGTGGATGTGTGTGCTCAGTGCTCTGGGGGGATAAGCCTGGGAGTAGAATTACTGGGCTAGATGCTGACCCTGCGGCTAGGTTTTGGAGGCACCTGAGGCCCCGCCAGCCTACTCTGACAGCAGCTGCCCATTTCCGTTCCCCAGCGGTGTGGGCGGGCTCTGCTCTCCACACCCTTGTCCGCACTTGCTCTTGTCCGTCTGCTGGACTCAGCCCTCCTCGTGGGTGTAAAGTTGCATCTCATCGTGGTTCTGATGTGCATTTCCTATGGCTGATGGTTTTGAGCATCTCTTTGTGTGTTTATTGGCCATTTGCTTTCCTCTTTGGGGAAGGTCATTTCTTGGCGCATTGTCAGCGGCTCTTACCCCGTGTGTCCGTGTTCACGGTTCCAAGGAGCAGGGCTTCAGCGCCACGCAGAGCACCGGGACAGCGAGGCTGAGGTCCCCTCCTGGCCACCCGCCAAGCACAGCCCCTGGCTCCAGCCGACAGCCATGGGCCTGGAAGTGCATTGTTCTTCCTGCCTTTCCATGGGGACGTGGGCTTTTCATGTGTCACCAGTTGGCATGTAGGCTTGATGCCCCGCCCCGTTCAGGCTTTGTGGGACAGAGCTGCTGAGGAACATGGGAATTACATGGGAAGGGATAACATGGGAGCTGCCTGTGGGGCCCATTTCCTTCCTCCATCGGGAGGTCTGGGAGCCAGCTTGCTGGGGGACCCGCATCCCTTTCCTCTTCACTCCGGTTCTCTGCGGCCCAGTGACATCTCTGTTTCCTTTCCTCCCAGTGACGCTGCCGGAGAAGCCTGTCAGACTGGCGCCACGGGCCAGAGAGAAGACACTCCCTTCCGCCAGGGCGAGGACAAAGTAAGCAGGGCCTGGTGGTGGCCTCCACCCGCCCACCCAGCGGCTGCCTCCCCGCCCCGCCCCTGCTTGCCACTGACTGGTGCCCGCTTTCAGTGCCAGCGTTTCCTCTCCTCCCTTAGCTCCTGGTCAGGGGAGCAGCCTCGTGGGGAGCGGGAAGGGAGTGGGACTGGAGGGCAGATCCTGGCCACGGTCTCACTACGCCTGCTGCCTTCTGTGTGCCGGGGCAGTTCCTGAGCCTCTCTGAGCCCAGAGGACTGCCCCAGATCAGTGGTCGGCAAACCGAGGCTCGTGAGCCACAGGCGGCTCTTTGGCCCCTTGAGTGCGGCTCTTCCACAAAACACCACGGCCTGGGCGAGTCTATGTTGAAGAAGTGGCGTTAGAAGAAGTTTAAGTTTAAAAAACGTGGCTCTCAAAAGAAATGTCCATCGTTGTGCTGTTGATGTTTGGCTCTGTGGACTGATGAGTTTGCCGACCACGGGCCCAGATGGGTGCTGTTCAGTGGTTTGTTGGGGGTTCTGCCAGTTGAGCGGTAGGAGGGAGCCTTGTCCGTCCGTGTCTCCCCCCCCCCCATTGTAGCTAACGCAAATGTTTCTCTCCTGCCTGTTGGGTTTTAAGACTTGGTTTTGAAGAGGCTCTACTTTTTTTTTTTTTAAATATATTTTATTGATATTTTACAGAGAGGAAGGGAGAGAGAGAGCTAGAAACGTCGATGAGAGAGAAACATCGACCAGCTGCCTCTTGCACACCCCCTACTGGGGGTGTGCCCACAACCACGGTACATGCCCTTGACCGGAATCGAACCTGGGACCTTTCAGTCCGCAGACCGACGCTCTACCACTGAGCCAAACCGGCTTCGGCGAGGCTCTACTTTTTTAAAGTAAAAGTCAGGTCACTGGGAGCCTGGGAGGCTCCTCTCAGCAGCTCGTCCTCGGGAAGAGGCTCGGGCGCCGGCTTCCAGGCCGGCCCCTCTGCAGTCCCCGGGCGCCCAGAGCGGTGCTCACTCTGCCCCTTGCAGGTCCCTCCTGGAGCACAACACCTTCGGCACCATGGCCGACCCCGCGGGAGCTGAGGCCGAGGTGAGCCTGGCCGGCCCTCCTCCCACCCTCTCCATGGAGCCCCAGAACTGAGAGGTGGGGCGGCCTGGAAGGCGGGGCGGGTGTCTACAGGAGCCCCCGGGGGCGGGGAGCGCAGCTCTGAGGCCGGGAGCGGGCTTCCCTCTGGGCCTCCACCCGGGCCGGTCCCATGCAGACAGCACCCACGGCCGCGGCGGGCTCCAAGGGAGTCCAGGGCGAGCTCCGCTGCCCACAGAAGTGGGGCACGGGGACGAGGGCCCCGGCTCCCAGGCCCCGGACTAACACCCGTCCTTCCCTCGTGGCCTCAGGTCTCCGACATCTCAGAGGCAGACCCGCTGGCTCTGCTCCAGGCCATGAAGGTAGGAAGCGACCTGTGCCGTCTGCGTTCTGGTAGCCATTCTGGTAGCCGGGGCTGGGCTGGGCCGCCGATACTTCCTGCCACACCATCGGTCCCCTCTCACATGGCGTGTGATCTCCCCGGGCAAGAATGGAGCTGCTGCCCTCTGCGCCCCTGGGGACGAGTCCGGTTTCCTGGATTAGATTCTCCTTGTCAGGCCGAGGCCTCTGACAGGGCCGGTCCCCCACCCCCACTCCCACCCCAAGCCTTCCCTGGCTGCATCCCTCCCCCACCCCCTGGTGGGCATACGGGAGACAATCGCCTCTGGAACTGGTTCTCGGCTCCCACCTGCCGAGTCCCCTCCAGTCCAGCCGTCCCCTGATAGGTCAGCACCAGGCTGGCCTTGACCCTGGCGTTTAGGGCACCCGTTCTCAGTGCTGGGCACGGAGGCATTGGCAGCTGAGCGCCGTGGGTCCCTCCCCCCTGCTTCTCCAGGATCTGGACGAGATGGATGCTGACCTCTTGGGCCTGAAGAAGTCTCCTCTGGCCCCTGGCAGAGGCGCCGCCAAGGGGGCTGGGAAACAGGAGCCGCCTAGCGACCCGCAGCCCGCCGCTCCGTCAGCAGCCCCGGAGGAAGGTGAGGTCCCAGCGCTCCGCCAGGACGGGAGCCTTGTCCGTCCGTGTCTCCCCGCCCCCGCCAGTGGGGTTCCCTGCCTCGCATGGTGGAGGGCGAGCTGGAGCTGACTGCGTGTGTGTGAGTGTGTGTGTATGTGTGAGTGTGTTTGTGAGTGTATGTGAGTGTGAGTGTGTGTGTGTGTGTCAGTGTGTGTCAGTGTGTGTGTGTGTCAGTGTGTGTGTGTGTGTGTGAGTGTGTGTGTGTGTGTGAGTGTGTGTGCATGTGCATGAGAATGTGTGTGTGTGAGTGTGTGTCAGTGTGTGTGTATGTGTTCACGGTGGGAGGGGACAAGCCAGCCTCCTCCTAGGGCTGTCCCCGTCCCTCTGCGCTAGTGGCAGCTCCTGGAGAAGCCACCTGAGGTGGCGTGGAGCTCTGTGGCAGTCGTGCAGCTCCCAGACCGCGTCCCTGGACGCCATGTTTCTGGCCAGGAGCTGTGCGGACAGGGAGAGCAGACACAGCCCATGGCTGAGCCACGGCCAGCCCTGAGCTCACCTGGGAGCATGCACGCCCCCGCCAGCCCCGGCCATGACCTTGCCCCGGCCATGACCTTGCCATCTCTCCGCAGGCGACGCCATTCCCACCAAGAAGCCCTCCCCCTCCCCCAGCAGCTTCGGGCACCAGTACAAGAAGTTTTCTCTCGAAGGTACCACAGCTTCCGGCCTTGCTCTGGGCATTCCAGCTGGGGGGGGGGGAGTAGCCATGGCGACACAGACTTGCCCGCAGCCCAGGCGCCGTGTGTGTCGGACCGAGCAGGGCTGGTGCGCTGGTGTGGTCTCACGCGTCCAGGGCGGACGGAGGGGGCATGGAGGGCACTTGTTTGCAAAGAACCCGGAGCCCGGCCTCACGCGGGAGCCTTTGTAAAGCGCAGGGGACCCTTCCCTTCGCGGCTGCACAGGTGTCGGCTGCTCTTCCGCTGCCGGCTCAGGGCCCGGGGTCTCGGCCAGCCGGGCACGGCCATGCTGGACCTCAACCATGGCCTGTCCGCCCTGCCTGCCAGGAGCCCGCTCCGTCCGATGCCGAGGGGCGGGGGGGGGGCGCGGTGGCCCCAGCGCAGCGGCGGTCTGAGCTGTGCCCCCCCCCCCAGACCTGGAAGACCCGCTGGCAGGCCTGCTCTCCGACGAGGACGGCGGGACCGCCAGGCAGCTGCCCGGGACGGAGAGCACAGCGGCTTCCGAAAAGAGCCCGGCCGCCGCCAGAGACCAAGGTGGGGGGGGGGGGGGTTCTTGTCCCGGGGGAGCGGGGCGGGTGCTCCGGTGCAGAGCTGAGGCCTGCCAGGCGGGGACCGCAGGCCTGACGTCCAGGACCCAGAGATCTTTCATCCTAAGAAGCGGGGAGGCGGAGGGGGACTCTGGGGTGGGGTGGGGTGAGTTGGGAGTCAGGTCTGTGGCAGACCAGGCCCCCCATGCCTGCTGCCCCGCTGAGGGCGGATGCCGGGCACTGCCCTGCGCTGTCTCTCAGGTCCCTCCATTCCTCTCACTCCTGGGGACACCCCTGTCCGGAAGAGAAAAGAATCGCTCTTTGACGATGATGATGACCTTATGGCCGCCCTGGGGTTTGGAGACAGCCCCAGAGGGGAGAGGAGGCAGCCAGGTGACCAGTAAGGACCTTCAGAGGGCAACGTCCCTGGCCGAGGCTGGAGGGTGGGTACGGCGTGCCCCGAGGAGCCCATGTTCACGTACCAGCCGGGTCCGTCCTGCAGGGAAGGGCCCCGCCCTGCTCGCTCCAAGCTGGAGGAGCTGCTGGGCCGAGGCGCTGCCCCCACACAGCGTGCTCGTCCGGGCACCGGGCAGCCCCTGGAGCTCAAGCTGGACAGGAAGAGCCAGAGGCCACAGGGTGAGGAAGCTTGCGGGACAGGGCCGGGGGGGGGGGGGGGGGCCTAGAGAGGTTTTGCCCCACCCCTAATAAGAACTAAGCTGTGCCCCGGACCCACACACTGTGCCCATTTACAAAGGAGACTGTGTCATGAAATAATATTAATAGTTACCGCGTTCCCTCCTGCTGCTTTTCCTTTTCACGGCATTTCATTGATATAAACACAGGGTCACACCTTATTGCATTCTTTGCCTGTGAACAGGCAGCAGCTCAGTGTGCAAACCACACAGTGCCGCTCACAGCGTCGCCCAGGGGTTGGCGCGTTCTCGTTCCACATGCAGCTCATGGTCTCACTAAAAGCCGTGGGCAGCTCCCCTCAGGCTCCTGCCGGCTCCCTACGGCTCCCAGGGGGCTCCCAGCGGCTCCCGCCGGCTCCCGCTGGCTCCCCGGGAGCTCCCTGCGGCTCCCGCCGGCTCCCCTCAGGCTCCCGCCGGCTCCCCGGGGCTCCAGTGCTGGTCGGGTGACACCCAGGCCCTCGCCCGCCTCTTGCAGAGCAGCCTCGCCTGCACAGCCTTACTCGCCACGCTGCCAGGACAGTGCCACTCCCCTGCCCTAGGTCACAGGCTCCTCCGTTCACAGACAAAGAAGACGCCTGGGCCGATGAGGACTTCACCTTCGGGGCCTATCAGCCCACCGTGGGCTCCTCCGAGGGCTGGCCGTCCCGCCGGCAGCCGGGCAGGTAGGCGGCTCGCCCCCCACGGCTGCCCCGCGGGCTGGGCCCCGGTGTGAGGGCAGAGGAGGCCGCCCGTCCCCGTGCACAGGCCTCGGGGTAGAGGCGCCCCAGCAGGAGCCAGGGCCCAGTTCCCTCCCAGCCTCCGCAGAAGGAAGAGCATTGTCTGGATCGGGGCTTTTCTCCCAGTCTGTATTTTAAACTTCGTGTTTAAAATAATCTCAAGCTGACAGGAAGGCTGTCAGAGCCACACAGAGAACTCCCTCCTGCCCTTGCCCGGACTTCAAGTTGCTGTCATTCCGCCGTGTTGGGCGTGGTGCCTCCTTTCTCCCCGGATAGCCCTCCGTGCCCGGAAGCACCCTCCATCCCTGCTGCCGGCCCGGCACAGGCAGCGGCGAGTCCAGGCGCCGGGCATCAAGTGACTGCCCAGAACCACTTGGCCGGCTGCTTCCCTCTGGACGGTGTGCCTGGGCTGACATTGTCCCGGTTCCTGCGATGGCTTTACGGTGTCTGTGCCACCCGCTGCCCCCTGATCCGGTGCGAGCACCGTGCTCACAGGCCTCAGGCTGTGCCGAGCCCCTGGCGGTCACTGCCCACAGCAGAGGGCTCAGCCGATGGGGGCTCTTGGGACAGACTGTTTGCTCTTGGGACAGGCTGCCTCCTCTCTGTCTTGAAGCAGGTTCTTTGCAGAAGATGGCGTAGACCGCAAGGGAGAGCCAGGCTCCAAGCAGGCCGCCCCCGCAGCAGCCAGCCCCAGCCCCCCCAGGAAGGGCGGCGCTGACTGGCTGGGCCTCAAGGACGAAGACGAGGACCTGCTCCCGCCCTCCCCCACCGCAGAGCCCCGCAGGAGAGGCCCCGCACTCCCCGCACCCTCCGGGCCCCGTCCTTCTGCCTCCGGCCCCCGCTCTGCCCCCGCTGGGCCGCCCCCCTCCTCCGGGGCACCGCCCCCGCCCGAGGGTGCAGGTCCCCCGGCCACAGCCGGCCAGCCCTGCCGGCCGGGGGCGTCTGCGGAGGAGGACTGGCTGAGCCACGCCTTGTCCCGGAAGAAGGCCCGCGGCCTGGCCAGGGAGGAGCGGGCTGCGGCCTCTAAGGGCCAGGTCCCGGAGCGGGCAGCCGGCCGCCCCCCGGCCAGCAGGTGCGGCTCGGGCTGCTGTCTCCAGGGGGGGCGCGGGGCCGGGTGCAGAGCGCCAACTGCCTGTCTTCCCTCCTCTCGGCACAGGGGCTCGGACCTGGCAGGAGAAGGCCTCAGCCAGCCTGTCCTCAGCCCTCCCGGGCCCGAGCCAGCGGCTGCCGGAGGGACGGCAGGGCCAGCAGCACGAAAGCCGCCCGCCCAGCCTGCCGCCTCAGGGTACGTGCAGCCAGGGCTGGGGGTGAGGAGGGCTGGGCCCAACCTGGCCTCCTCTTGACTGAGCCCCAGATGAAGGCGCCTCCTGCAGCCGCCATCTCTGCTCACGGAGGCCTCCCTGTGAGTGCAGCCTGGCCCTCCCACTGAGGACCTGACCGGTTTTCCTCTCCCGCCCCCCCTCCCTGTGTCCGCAGGGCCCCCGGGACTAGGAACCTGGCCAGCTTGGCCCTTGATGCAGGCGACTCAAAGAAGGACACAGTCCCTGGCGACCTCTCCGGCACTGGTTTGTCTTCTGCTTTGGGGGTGAAATCTGGGCAGAAAAAGGCACATTGAGCTTCTTCGGGAGGCGCACACATGTGTACACACACGCACATGCACACGCATACACACATGCTAGAGGGACAGAGACAGACCGTGGGCCTCCATGGGCCTCCGTGGGTCTCGGTCCTGCTCAGTTCTCTGCTGTTTGTTTTCAGAGCCTGCAGTGCGTTTCCCGAGCTCCCAGGACCCCCCAGGGCTGGCTGCGCCCGTCCAGGTAGGGAGGTGGACAGAGAGGCACTGGTCTCGGCCCCAAGATGCAGGCCCCGCGCAGAGGCGGCGGCAGCGGGTCCACCTGGTGGCCTGCAGATGTCAGCGCACCCGGCCCTCCCACCCCGTCCCCTGCACTGAGCCTGGTCGGGCAGAGCCAGTGCCAACTTGCCAGCCCCAATGGGGAAGCGGAGGTGGTACCAGGCGGCGTGGCCAAGGTGCTCCCGTCCCCATCTAGAAAGCCTCCTCTCCTGCCCCCTCCTTCCATGCCGCCACGGCTTCCCGGGTGCGGCGTCACCTCTGACCCCGAGGAGGCCCAGCCACAGGGGCATGTGCCTGCTCACCCAGGCCTTCGGCATTGGGGTTGGTGGGCAGGAAACGGGAAAGGCGCATCGTAGGCTTTGGTGGTCACTAGGCTGCTGGCCGAAGCTTGGTCTAGGAGTCTGCCCGCCGTGGAGGATGCTGCCCTGAGGAAGGAGGGACTTTCTCCTAACCAGACCTGAGCGACCACTGACGCTCCGGGGCCCCTCCTCGGCTTCTTGGTGTCATGTCCTTGACCCCACCTGCAGCCCCTGGTCAGGTGCAGGGCTGGGTGGCCCAGTGAGCAGAGGGCCCGAGGTAGCTGAGCTCTGCTGGTCCCTGCCCCTGCCGACCCTGGAGCGTGTTTCCTTCGCAGTCCCTGCTGCCGCCGGCCCTGGCACAGAGCCTGCCGCCGGGCACAGGATACCAGCAGCAGCTCCTGGCTGCACAGCTGCAGCTTCAGAGTGGCACCGCCCAGCTCCAGGCTGAGCTGCTGCAGAGCCAGGCCCAGCTGGCAGACCTGGAGGCCCAGGTGAGGGTCTGGGCCGGTGAGGGTGGAGGCAGGGCTGCGGGGGGCAGGTGTCGCTGTGCGGGCCGGAAGCTTCCCCAGGGACCTGCGGGACCTGCTGCCCACCCCACGCCGTCCCTCTCGCTGCCTCAGGTGCGGAAGCTGGAGCTGGAGCGGGCCCAGCACAAGCTGCTGCTGGAGACTTTGCAGCTGCGACACCAGGCCGACCTGGAGCTCATCGAGAATGCTCACAGGTACCCCTGCCCCAGCCTTCGGGGCTCCCTGAGGCTCCTGGCCTGCCCCAGCCGTGTGCTCGAGGGTGTGGGGGTGAGGGGACCCTTCCGATGGCCTCCCTCACCTTCGAGCCCCAACTGGGTATTCCGTTGGCAGAAGCCGCATCAAGGTGCTAGAAACTTCCTACCAGCAGCGGGAAGAGCGGCTGCGGAGAGAGAACGAGGAGCTGTCCGCCCAGTACCTGTCGCACTGCCAGGAGGCCGAGCAGGCCCGGGCCGAGCTCACCGCCCGGCACCAGCGGCGCTTGGCGGCCGCCGAGCAGGAGAAGGACCAGGAGGTGGAGCGGCTGCGGCAGCTGCAGCGGTGAGGCCCGGCCCAGCGCCAGGCGGGCGGGGGAGCGGGCTTCTCGAGTGGCCAGGGCAACCCCACGCCGTGCCTTTGAACCGAAGTGAGGACCCAGGCCAGCATACTGACCCATCCCACCCATCAGAGCGGGCATCGCCCCTACAGAGGTGGGAGTGGGTACCCACAGGGCTGGTTGGGCCGGGCCTGGCAGCAGCAAGCAGGCCGGTCAGCTCAGCCCAGGTCAACCCACTCGCCGGCTGGGCCTCTCAGGCCTCGTTTCTAGACGGACCTGGTGTGGTTTGCACCGTGTGCCTGGTTGCCTTTCGGGTGAGCCAAACGAAGAAAAGGCCCGTCGGGAGCTGGCTGATGGGCCAGAGTCCAGGCACGCCTGTCTTCTCCTCCGCGGCAATGACGGAGGCACATCCCCTCAGAGAGCGGGTGTGGCATTGGGCACCCAGGCAGTGAAGGCTGACAGCGGGGAACGGAGGAGGCCCGGGGAGAAGGGGAGGCCGGAGCACTGGCCGAGGCACGCTCCTCCCCGAGGCTGCACAGCCCGCCCTCCCGGCTGCAGGGCCTCCATCCTGGAGATGCGCAAGGACCACGAGGAGCAGCTGCAGCGGCTGAAGCTGCTGAAGGACCGGGAGATCGATGCCGTCACCAGTGCCACCTCCCACACGCGGTACGCGTGAGGGCCGGGCCCTGCCAGCGGGCGGTGCCGGGGGCCCCAGGCCAGCGTGACCGGGTCGTCCGCAGGTCCCTGAACGGCGTCATCGAGCAGATGGAGAAGTGCTCCAGCAGCCTGAACGCGCTGTCCTCCCGCGTGGAGGCCTCGCACCTCACCACCGCGCAGGAGCGGGAGCTGGGCCTCCGGCAGCAGGACCAGCAGCTCCGAGGTACCGCATGGCCTGCCCCCGCCCTCGGCTCAGGGCCCGGGGCGGACACTCAGTGTCCTGTGGCTGCCCCAGCGCTGCAGGAGCGGCTGGGCCTGCAGCAGCGGGACATGGAGGAGGAGCGGAGCCGGCTCCAGGAGGTCATCGGGAAGATGGAGGCCCGCCTGAGCGAGCAGAGCCGGCTGCTGGAGCAGGTGAGCCGCCCTAACCCCGCGGGCCCGTCTCCAGGCACCAGGGAGCTCACCGCCTGGGCCTCCTCCCCTTCCTGCCCTGCCCCCAGCCCCACCGCCACGGGCGTCCTCGCCACGGCCGCCGGCCCTCTGCCCAGCCCTCACGTCCCACCGTCTTTCCAGCCACTTGAACCTGTCATGGCTGCTGGGCCTGTGACCTTGGGAGAGAGGTTGAACTCCCTACATAGCTTACAGATAGAGGAAGCTGTCGTCTTTAAAAATACCTGTCTTTTTTTACCATGTTATTATTTTACTGAAAGAGGTTAAACTACATGAAACAATAAAGGAAAAAGTGAAAATTACCCACTAGCCAGAGAGCCCTGGCACTGTCCCTGGTGCCTGAGGACTAGCAGTGTAGACAGAGAGGGTCTGTGTCCCGGGCCGTGCTTACTCAGGCCTCACCGGGCACCTCGGGCCAGGCCACCCGCTTCTCACCTCGTGCTGTGTGTGCCCTGCGTCCCCTGGCACGCACAGGGTCATGCCCACCTGCTCCTCGCCCGCTTGGCTGATGGGAGACGAGGCGAGTGCTGTCCATGGCGCTTCAGAGACCAGGGATGCTGCTGTCCCCAGAGCTCCCAGCAGAGGGTCCTGAGCCTCAGCCCTGAGCCTCGGCCCTGAGCCTCGGCCCTGGCACGTACCCAGGGTCTGCCTTGTCCTCCTCGCCCTGGCCTTGGAGGGTGAGGTCGGCCAAGCCCTCCTCGTGCCCTCGCCTCGCGCCTCTGGAAAGGAAATGTTTGTGACGTGTGGGAAGCGCAGGTAGCTTTGCGCAGCGGGAGGCCTGGCGGGGCCCTGGAGCCACGGGCTCACTCTCGGCCCGGCCTCAGGAACGCTGGCGGGTGAGCGCTGAGCAGTCCAAGGCCGAGTCCGCGCAGCGCGCCCTGGAGGAGCAGAGGAAGGTCACGGCCCAGCAGCTGGCCATGGAGCGGGAGGAGCTGGAGAGGGCCAAGGTGAGCCAGCCACACCGCTTCCAGCTGCCATGCCCGCCATGATGCCCGAGGACACACCCCTGACCTTGGCCCCCGTCCCAGAGCGCCTTGCTGGAGGAGCAGAAGGCCGTCATGCATAAGTGCGGGGAGGAGCGGCGGCGCCTGGCGGCCGAGTGGGCCGAGTTCTTCGCGCAGCAGAAGCTGAGTAAAGAGCGGGCGGAGCGAGAGGTGGAGCGGGCGCTGCAGGCGGACGCCCAGCGGGAGGGCACCCTCATCAGCCTGGCCAAGGTAGAGCCCGGCCGCCAGCCCGCCCTTTCCCTCCGGCCCTCACGGCTGCTCCTGCCTCAGGCCCGTCAGCTCAGCACAGGGCACAGCAACAGCAATCCGAACAGTGACAACTCATCTGCTGTGCTCCTGCTTCACGCACATGCTCAGTCACCTCATCACATCCCCATGACTTAGATATAAAAACGGTTCAGAGAAGCTGGGCCCGCGGTGAGGGCAGCACCGAGGCATGGCCCTGGCCTCCCTGACTGGTTCTGGGACCCCCGCACCCCATCCCCTTCTCCCAGAACCAGGATCAGATGGAGCCACAGCAGTGAGGCGGGCGGGCCAGGGGCTCCTCCGACCCTGAGCAGAGCCCAGTTCCGCTCTGGGAGGACCCGGCGCTGAAGGCTTTGCCATCTCCAGGAGCAGGCGGAGCTGAAGATCCGGGCCAGCGAGCTCCGGGCCAAGGAGGACCAGCTGGCGGCCGAGAGGGAGGCTGTGGAGCGGGAGCGGGAGGGGCTGCGGCAGGAGAAGGAGAGGGTCCGCGCCGCTGCCCTGCGCATCCGGCTCCGCTCCGAGGAGGTGGAGAAGATGAGCCAGGTCCCGCGGCTCCGCTGGGCGGTGGCCGGGCCGGGCGGTGCCCTGTCCGCGGGCCGCCTGGCTGACCCAGCGTCTCTGCAGGTGGCCTCGGAGAAGTACCAGGAGGGGGAGCAGGCACTGCGGGAGGCCCGGCAGGTGCAGTCAGAGCATCAGGCCCGGCTGCAGCTGGTGCGGCAGCAGGTGGAGCGGCTGCAGCAGCAGGAGCAGCACGTGCAGCAGGCAAGGCCCCCCCCAGCCCCTGCTTTCCCAGTCTGGCTCCACCGACCCCCCACCTTCAGACCCTCACAGCTATGTCCTTCTCTCCGCGGACGGGGACAGGAGCATCTGAGTCTGGCCCAGCAGAGGCTGCAGCTGGACCACGTTCGGCACGACCTGCCCTTCGGCCCTGTGGGGCCGCTTGCCCAAGCCCCAGGCCTGGCAGCGTCCGGCACGAGTGGTAAGTGGCCCTCGGGTGGGCGGTGCCAGGAGCATCCTGCCACGCCTCCCTCCACTCAGGTTAGGGGCCAGCTGGCTTTAGTAACCTCGTTCATATGTCTTTACACAGTAATGCGTGTTCATTATAGAAAAATGCATTGGGAAATAGAAGAAAACTTTTAAAATAAAGTGTCACTCTTATCCGCACACTCTAGAGACAAGCACTTTTAACATTCTGGTGCGTGGTGTTTGTTCTAGACTGCGTGTGTGTTTTTAAAAACAAAATTGACATCACGTCATACACTGTTTTTTATTTGGAAATATACATACAGGACATGTTTTCACATCAGAAATTAAACATCTAACCATAACTTCTAATCCATTGTGAGTGTCTATTGTGAGGCTGTTCCATGCTTTTAACCGTTTTCTCCTGGGTGGCTTTTTGTCACGGAGATAAACAGCACATCGGTGACAGTCTGTGCGTACAGCTCTGCGCTTTCGCCTGGCTATTTCCCTCGAATAGGTCCTAGAATTAGACTTGCCAGGTAAAGTCCCCGGTGGAGAAGGTGGGGCCTGGGCGCACCACCCGCAGTGGTCAGCAGGCCCGGGAGACAGGCTGTGGCCGCCTGTCCTCCCGCCCACGTGTGGCCCCTGACCCCCTCCGCAGCCTTTACAGCCATCGTGGCTCCCGCTCCCGCCAATCCTCAGGGCCCCCAGCCGCCAGCCACCCTGGGCTCCTCGCTTCTCCACGCCAAGCTGGTGCTGATGAAACACTCAGCTGAGCAGGTAAGCATCCCATAGCGAAGGCGGACCCCACCCAGGCCCGCCACTCCCCCTGGACCAGGGTCCTCGTGGGCACCTTGGTAACAGACCACCCAGGGCAGTCAGAGAGGAGTGCGTCCTGGCCCTGAGGAGGGCTGAGCACACCCCGGGGGGACATCTCAGGCCAGGTTCTGTGCAAAGCCATTGCCTGTGTGTGGCCAGTTGTCCCTTCCGGTGGTAGCAGTGACAGTCCCTGTGTCCAGGCTCTGTACTGAAGCCTTCCTCTCCCAGCCTCCAGGCAGGAAATGCTCTCCTCTAGTTTACAGACAGGCTTAGAGAGTAACGTCATGTGCTAGCGAGTGGCCTTGCCAGAACAGACCTGGTCTTTCACTCCAGTGCGCCTGCTCCTCCCAGGCCCCCCTTCGGCTCACAGCTGCCCAGAGCCAGGGAGTGAGTGGGGAAGGGCCTGGAGTGAGGGCTGGCTCCCGAGCACTCCGGGATCCACCTCACGCAGGCCCTGAGGCTGTGACCAGGGAGGGCCCAGAGGGGGTGCTCACCCAGCTCTGCCTTTCAGGACCGAGACTTCCTGGAAAATGAGGAGTTCTTCCTGGAGACCCTGAAGCAAGCCTCATACAATATGACATCCCACCCAGCCTGAAGGCCCTGGCACTCTGTTCTAGTGCCCCCGCTGCCAGCTCCAGGGTGGTGGTGCGGGGGAAGGCTCTGAGATGCCCAGGGCCTGATAACAGCTCTTCAGATAGCCAGGGTACAAGGGCATTCCGACCACGCCAGCCGCAGCTGAGGAGGCAGGTGCCCCCGGACACTGTCAGCTTCAGCTTTGGTTCTCTGGACCCCTCCCCTCGTCGGCAGGCAGGTGGCTGAGGGGTCTTTTCACCTGGGCCCCTTCTGAGACGGGGTCTTCTCCAGGGAGCAGCCTCCTGCCCTCCCGCCTGAGGCCAGCAGAGACCCACTGGGCCCCTCCCTAATGGGATGTGGAGTCGGACCACGTGTTTTGAGAGCCTCTGTCCTGCTGGCCAGGGTGGGAGTGCAGGGGCAGGAGAGAGGTGGGAATCGCAATTACTTATAAATTACTTGGAAAGACTGTCCTGGTGAGCACGGAGGCAGCGGGGTGAGCGGAGTGACCCTGAGCAGGCAGTTCGTGTGTCTGTCGCAGACAGCTTTCGGGGGGAACTTGTTTACCAACAATCTACAGCCTTCATCTTGGACCCATTAAATTGCTATATGTTTTTTAATCCAGCTGTCTTTCATTTCTTGCCATATTTGATAGAGATAGCCCTTCTTTTCTGGTTCTACAGTTTCTCTCTATGTACATATCCACAGACAAAGCAGAACATTGATTTGTGTGTTTAAAGATCTCTCTATCCCTGGTCAGTGTGGCTCGCTCAGAATGCAGTGGTTCCATACACTGGGAGGTAGAGGGTTCAGTTCTAGAAGGTCAGGGCTCCTGTGGGTTTGATCCCTGGTGCATGCAAGAGGCAATAATTAGTGTGTTCTTGTTTTTTAAATATAATTTATTGATTTTTTTACAGAGAGGAAGAGAGAGGGACAGAGAGCTAGAAACATCGATCAGCTGCCTCTTGCACGCCCCCTACTGGGAATGTGCTGGCAACCAAATTACATGCCTTTGACCAGAATCGAACCTGGGACCTTTCCATCCGCAAGCCGACGCTATATCCACTGAGCCAAACTGGCTTTGGCTCAATTGGTGTTTTCATATTTGTCTCTCCCTTCCTCTCTCTAAAGTCAATTTAAAAATACCTAAAGTTTAAAAAATATCTATATGGTATTATCCTATCCTAGCAGAAAATTCTTACAACCCAGCTTTGTCCAGAAGCTCATTCAGCTGTCTGGTCTAATAAGCATACTATGCTTTTATTATTATCTATACTAATAAAAGGGTAATATGCTAATTATACCAGATGTCTTCCAGACGACAAAGCCACAGTGGTGGGGGCCGAGGCAGAGGTGGTTAGGGGTGATCAGGCAAGCAGGGGAGGACAGTTAGGGGTGATCGGGCTGGCAGGGGAGGGCAGTCGGGCTTAACCCAGCAGTCAGACATACCCTGAGGGCTCCCAGACACTGAGAGGGTGCAGGCGGCTGAGATTCCCTCCCCCCACAAGTGCACAGATTTTGTGCCCCAGGCCTCTAGTATTTATAATAGCAATAAGTTTTGTTTTTCCACTATTTTGTTTACATTTAACCTTTCATGCAGCTGCAGTTCATTAATTTTAACTGCTGAATACTATTTCATTGTTTGAATATACCACAATTTACTCATTCTCTTGCTATGCTAATGGGCATTTAGGGTGTTTACAGTTTTATTGGGATTTTATTGTAAACAATACTGCCACGACAGTGCTAGGCATGCCTCCTTGGCATATATGTAAGCACTTCTCTAAGGTAGATACTACCGTGTTTCCCCGAAAATAAGACAAGACCTAGGGCATGGAAAGATAAGACATCCCCTGAAAATAAGACCTAGCGCAACTTTGGGAGAAAAAATTAATATAAGACACTGTCTTATTTTCGGGGAAACGGGGTAGAAGTAGAATTTCTAGGCCATAGAATATGTGCTTAACTTGACTACTAGTTAAAACTGTACTAATTACTGGCAAGTTGCTCTGTAAAGTAGCTGGATCAATTTACACTCCAACAGAGGCTTTCAGTGCTTATTTATAACTGGCGGGGCCTGGACCTCCCCCCTACAAGCCACACCATGGCCAGAGGGTCTGAGGCTCAGGGATCTCTGTGCAACCGGGCATCTGCCAGGCCTGGCCCCCGGGTCTGGGCCGCCCCCCGGGTCTGGGCCGCCTCCTGGTGGCGGGCCGCAGGCAGGAGCCGCGACCGCCCACAGCTCCCCTGTCCTCGGAGGACCGGGATCCCAGGGTCCTCACGCCTCTGGCGCTCTAGCGGGAAGGAAAGGACCTGCGCCTCTCCCGGGCAAAGAGGAACCTGGGCCCTGGGTGGGGGCGGGGCTCCTGGGTCCGAGGCGTGGCCTGGGCGGGGGCGGGGCCTCCGGGCGCACAGGCGCTGTCGCAGGCGCCTTCGTAGGCTTCTAGGGGCGGGGCTCAGGGTCTGGGGGCGTGGCTCCAGGGCAGCGGCGCGGGGCGTGGTCTGGCGGGGCGGGGCTCCGGGCGCACAGGCGCTGTCGCAGCCGCCTTCGTAGGCTTCTAGGGGCGGGGGCGGAGCCGACCTGAGGGAAGATGGCGGCGCCCTTGTGGCAGGCGGCGCTGGGCGCCAGTCGGCGGTGGCGGTGCTTCAGCACCTCGGGTGAGGGGTCGGAGGGTGTGGGGCTCCTGCAGGGCCCCCTGAAGCCCGAGCCCTGGGGCTCGAGCCAGCGCGCGCCCGCCCGCCCTCCTTGGGGCCGGGCCGCCGCCGGCCTGAGCCGCCCGCTCTCTGCCCGCAGCCGCGCGGAGCCGCCGCGCCCCGCCGCTGGGGCCGATGCCCAACGAGGACATCGACGTGAGCAACCTGGAGCGGCTGGAGAAGTACCGCAGCTTCGCCCGCTACCGGCGCCGCGCGGAGCAGGAGGCGCGCGCCCCGCACTGGTGGCGGACCTACCGGGAGCACTTCGTGGCGGAGCCAGGTGCGGGGCCGTGCGTGCGGGCCGGCGGGGCCGGCCTGCTCCCCGCGGCGGCGGCGTCCTTGTCCAGGAGGCTGTCCCCGCCTGTGGGCCCTGCTTGAAACACCCCCTCCCATTAGAGTCCCGCTCAGCTAAGGTGGCCGCGCGTCCCGCGTTTGGCGGGACAGTCCCGCTTTTGAACAATGTGTCCCGCGGCGTTTTAAAAAAGACTTTTTAAAAATATATATATTTTATTGATTTTGTACAGAGAGGAAGGGAGATAGCAAGTTAGAAACATCGATGAGAGAGAATCATCGATCAGCTGCCTCTTGCACACCCCCCACTGGGGATGTGCCCGCAACCAAGGTACATGCCCTTGACCGGAATCGAACCCGGGACCCTTCAGTCCCCAAGCCGACGCTCTATCCACTGAGCCAAACCGGTTTCGGCAAAAAAAAAAAGACTTTTCTAAGACGCCACGGGACACATTGTTCAAAAGGTGGCCAGACGTCCCGCTTTTTAAAAAAAATCGGGACTTATTAATTTATTTCTAATTTTTTGGGGGGCGGGGGGGAGAGGGTTGTTTTTTTTTTTAATAATATACTTTATTGATTTTTTACAGAGAAAGAGAGGGATAGAGAGTTAGAAACATCCATGAGAGAATCATCGACCAGCTGCCTCTTGTACACCCCCCACTGGAGATGTGCCCGCAACCAAGGTACATGCCCTTGACCGGAATCGAACCCGGGATCTTTCGGTCCGCAGGCCGACGCTCTATCCACTGAGCCAAACCGGTTTTGGCAATCGGGACTTTTTTAAAACGCCGCGGGACACATTGTTCAAAAGCAGCACGTCTGGTCACCTTACCCTTAGCTATTTCTACTCCTAACGTTTTTTGACCACCTCCCCCTCCCCTTCCGCCGTTGGGAGTGGGAGCACCCTCTGTGCCCCTAAAATAGGCCGTGTGCAGCCCTGCCCACGCTGTACTTTCCTTCCGCTGCCGCTCTCCCAGACCGAGTCCCCAGGACAGGGGTCCCGCCCCGCCGGTCTTAACCATCTTTGGATCCTTGCACCCCCACAGCGTGCAATACGTGGCTGAATGAAATAGCCTGGACTGGGTGTCTGGGGGAGGCTGCCCTTGAGCAACTCACAAGTGCATCCTTTGGAAACCTTGTCTGGGCCAGCGTTGAGGGTGCGGTGTGCTGTTGTTACTGTTTAATTGTTACTGTTTAATGTGAATGGGAAAAGGTGTTGGGTTAAAGGTTCTCTAGGGCCTTGAAAAAAGCGTGTTCTGGGACCAGCTGCACAGACCTTACCTAGAGGCTCCTGAGAAATGCACTGCCATGCCCTGGCCAGTGTGGCTCAGTTGGTTGGAACCCCTCAGGTACCCCAAAAGGTCACGGGTTCGATTCCTAGTCAGGCAATGCCCAGGTTTTGGGTTCGATCCCCAGTAGGGTGCAACTGATTGATGTTCCCCTTTCTCTCCCCCTCCTCTTTTCCTCTAAAATCAATAAAAATCATGTCCTCGGGTGAGAATTTAAAAAAAAAAAGAAATGTGGTTTCAGTTCCCACTCTGACCTGCAGAATCAAAATCTGAATTTTAAGACATTTCCCCGGTGACTGGTACGACTCATTTGTTAAAGTGTGAGAATGCTTCTTTAAGTTGTAGCTTCAGCTGTTCTGCTGAGGACCCAGGTGTGTCCGAGCCCCGCAGTGACGCTGGAAGGGGTCCCCGCTGTCATTGGGAGGCCAAGTGCCTGTTCCCTGTGACCTAGACAGACAGTGGGAGGGTTAGGGATTAGAAGATGCAATCTCAAGCTTATCAGTTTGCTTAGCGACTGGACCCTGCTCAGGTCTGAGAGGCAGGCTACACGGTGTTTTAGTTCAGTGGTCGGCAAACCTCGGCTCTCGAGCCACATGCGGCTCTTTGGCCCCTTGAGTGTGGCTCTTCCATAAAATACCACGGCCTGGGCGAGTCTATTTTGAAGAAGTGGCATTAGAAGTTTTTTTTAAAATTGGCTCTCAGGGAGAGATAATAGATCAACCGAAGGACTTGTATGCATGCATGTAAGTACAACCAATGGACAGAAAACTCTGGGGAAGGAGGGGTTTTTGGGGGAGGGGGGGCACAATGGTAAGATATGTACACAGATAATAATTTAATTAAAAATAAATTGGCTCTCAAAAGAAATTTCAATCTTTGTACTGTTGACATTTGGCTCTGTTGGCTAACAAGTTTGCCGACCACTGTTTTAGTTTTGTGAGTTAAAGGGGCAGCGTTAGCAGCAGACCTTGGGCAAGTGAGAGGACCTGGCGGAGACAGGTGGGTTGGCCAAGAATGGATCCCACTTCCTCCATCGCACCTTTCCTCCCCAGACCCCAGAGACAAGATTGACATCGGGCTGCCTCCACGCAAGGTCTGTCGGGCCCAGCAGCTGCTGGAGCGGAAGCAGGTTCTGCGGGAGCTGAAGGCCAGCGTGGAGGAGGAGCGGGCCGCCCGCCACCGCACAGGTACGCCCTCCGGTGGCCCTCCGGGCAGGGGGGGGGAGGCCTGCAGGGTCTGCCCCGCCCGGGCCCAGCCGGCATCATTCCTTCGCAGCGCGCATCCCGCTGGAGGCCGTGCGGGCGGAGTGGGAGAGGACCTGTGGGCCCTACCACAAGCAGCGCCTGGCCGAGTACTACGGCCTCTACCGAGACCTGTTCCACGGCGCCACCTTCGTGCCCCGCGTCCCCCTGCACGTGGCCTACGCCGTGGGTGAGGACGACGTGATGCCCGTGTACCACGGCAACGAGGTCACGCCCACGGAGGTACCTGCTGGCCGTGCCCCTTCCTGCCCTGTGTGCGCAGACACATCCCCCCCCCGGGCCGTGACCTCCCTTCTCCAAGAGCATCTGTTTGTGACAGCTTGGCTGTCCCTGTGGGCGTGACAGCTCCCTCCTCCTCTCCCATCAGGCTGCCCAGGCCCCAGAGGTGACTTATGAGGCGGACGAGGGCTCCCTGTGGACACTGCTGCTCACCAACTTGGGTAGGCGTCTAGGATACAGGAGCCCGGGCCCTGGGCCGGGGTCTGGGGGCGGGCCAGGTGGAGAGGCCCTCAGTGGTGGGTCTGTTTATGTGCAGATGGACACCTGCTGGAGCCGGATGCGGAGTACGTGCACTGGCTGGTGTGAGTACGGAGCGGGCCGGGGCCCGGCATGCGGGAGGCCCTGGCATCCCGGGAAGATCTGCCCCTGGGTTTCAGTCTCGGCTCCATCGCGGACTAACGATGGGGCTGTGGGCTGACCTCCCTCCCCTGGAGGTGCCCGCCCCTGCTTCCTGGGCGGGGGAGGCCTTAGGACCCAGTGGCTGGACGCAGGTAAGAAGATCGGGCAGCGGGCCTTGGCTGCTCCGAGGTGTCATGGTCTCCAGCCAGAGCGGCTGTGGCAGCCCCGCCGCCCTCCTGACCGCCGGCTCCCCCAGGGCATAGCAAACAGGCTGCTCCCTTTGCTCTCACCCACTCTGCAGCCCGTCCTCCGCCCCCGCGCCCCAGGGTGCGCAGAGCTCCGGCTCCTGCTTGATTGCGCAGAAGAGGTCCCTGTGGGCTCTGTCCCCGGCTTTGACCCGGGCGGGCGGGCGGGCGGGCGGTGTCTCAGCCTCCAAGTGCTGGTATGGGGACGCCGTGGCGATTAACAGCTCCTTCCCTCCCGCCAGCACCAACATCCCAGGCCGCAGGGTGGCTGAGGGACAGGAGGCGTGTCCCTACCTGCCCCCCTTCCCTGCCCGGGGCTCTGGCTTCCACCGCTTTGCCTTCCTGCTCTTCAAGCAGGAGAAGCCAATCGACTTCTCGGAGGATACGCGGCCCTCCCCCTGGTAACCTACACCCCCCCCTTCCCGCACCCCACTCCCTGTCCCGCACCCCACTCCCCGTCCCACACCCCACTCCCCGTCCCTCTCCCCACCCGTCCTGCGTCCCGCTCCTCGTCCTGCGTCCCGCTCCCCACCCCCATCAGGCCAGCTTCCCAGCAACGCCAGCCGTGCTCAGTCCTCCCGCCTCTCCCCGGGACTTGGGCGCAGACTGTCGTGTGGGCAGCCCTCACTCGGGCTTCTCGTGACTGCCTGTGGGCAGAGGGGGTGTGGGCCTGCTGTCCCTCCCCACTCATCCTCCCATCGCGCAGCTACCAGCTCGCCCAGCGGACCTTCCACACCTTCGATTTCTACAAGAAGCACCAGGAAGCCATGACCCCGGCCGGCCTGGCCTTCTTCCAGTGCCGCTGGGACGGCTCGGTCACCCGCACCTTCCACCAGCTTCTGGGTAGGGGCGGTGGGGGCAGGAGGGGAGGCTGGGCACCGCACAGACCTTCCCAGGCCTGGTCTCGGGGAGTCGCCCGTCCCCCACTGGGCTGGCTGGCTAGGCCCACCCTGCAGACAAGATGGGGGTTCGGGCCGGCAGCAGTCCGCATCCACACTCCGCGCTCTCCTTGCAGATATGCGGGAGCCCGTGTTCGAGTTTGTGCGGCCACCCCCTTACCACCCCAAGCAGACGCGCTTCCCCCACAGGCAGCCCCTTCGCTACCTGGACCGCTACAGGGACAGTCCTGAACCCACCTATGGCATCTACTGAGTGGCCAGACTGCCACCGCCTCAGGGCGGGCTGGGCCTGGGGCCCTCTGCCAGGCTCCGGGGCCAGCTGCGGGCTCTGGGCCCTGTCTCAGGCGCCTCTGCTGGCAGGGTGGGTATGAATAAAGATGATTTCTGCTGTAGCTGGTCTGGTCTGTTCGAGGAGCAGCCAGGTTCCCCCCCCACCCCATGGTGTGTATTACTCTGTGGGCGGGAAGAGGGCTGCCTGCCACCCGGGAAGTAAGCCCTGTGAGCCAGTGGCGGAAGATCCAGAAGGAAAAGCAGGTCTCTGGGAAGCGGTCTGCCCACGGAGCATTGGCCCCTGGCCGGCGGGGGTGCAGGCTCCTGGCCTCGGGTCTCGGAGACCTCAGGCTCACGCCCCTGCCCCTGCCCCCGCCCTGGTGGTGAGGGCAAGTCTGTCTCCGAAGGGAGAGACCGCCTGTAGCCAAGCAGAGGAGCTGTGCACCTTCTCCAGAAAGAGCGACTCCACATACTTACAACCCAAGACGCTGCGCTGCGCTGAGGGCAGCGAACCGTGCCGGTAGCCACGTGTTGGGGTGGCCTGGCTCAGTGGCTGAGCATCGGCCTATGAACCAGGGTTCAATTCCCGGGCAGGGCACATGCCTGGGTTGTGAGCTGGATCCCCAGTGGAGTGTGCAGGAGGCAGCCGATAAATGACTATTTCTCATCATTGATGTTTCTCTTCCTCTTTGAAATCAATAAAAATATGTTTTAAATAAATAAATTGGGCCGGCTTGGTCAGAAGTTAACCCTCTCCAGCCGGTCCTGGGCAGACTCGCCCTGCCCCGGGGCAGGTGGGTTTGCAATCCGAGGCCCTCTGCTCAGCTGCGGGAGCCACAGCTCTGGAAACAGCTTCTAGAGCAGCAGCGGGCTCACCCAGAGGGGGTGCCAAGTGTAGTTACGGGTTTCCGGTTTCCATGAGGGGGTGTGGACATGCTGGGCTGGGCTGTCTGATTGGCCAGCAAGGCCCACCTCATGTGGATACGGAGCCAGGAGAAGGGAGACGCCTGGTGTGGCAAATGCCTGGAACTGGGCTCCGGGGGAAAGTGCTGCTCTTCCTGCCAGACCTCCCGCTGGCTCCGTCCGTCCGTGTAACCGCTGAAGCCCGAGGTCTGCTGGCGGCTCATGTTCAGGTGAGGCCCTCGGCCTGGAGGAGGCCCCCTGGGGCTCTTGTCTCTGGAGGCTGGGGCTGGACAGCCTTCTCCTGAGCTGCCGTGCTGAGGTCTAGGAAAGCGGGAAGGAGGTCCCGGGTGAGACCAGAGAGCTGGACCCCACCTCCCAGCCCGGGTGGCAGGAGGCTGGCGGGGCGGCTCTGGACACGGACTGAATGGGAGGCCATGCGGAGGCGCAGGGCGCGATTGGGCGGAGCGGCGCTGGGTCCCCTCTGCTCCCCGGGCGGGCCCTCGCTCCTCCCCGCCGCACCCGCGGCTTCGGTCCCTTTAAAAGGCGCGGCCTCCGGGGAGCTGAGCCCGCCCCCGCCGCCGCCATGGCCCAGCGGCTGCTGCAGGAGAAGCTGACCTGCTCCGTCTGCCTGGAGCTCTACCGGGACCCGGTGACGCTGCCCTGCGGCCACAACTTCTGCGAGGCCTGCATCCGGGACTGGTGGCGCTCCCACGAGGGCAGCCCCGCGTGCCCCGAGTGCCGGGAGCCCTGCCCCGCGCGCGCCCAGCTGCGCCGCAACGTGGCCCTGAGCGGCGTGGTGGAGGCGGTGCGCGCCGAGCCCCCGGCCCCCGGCCCCGGCCCCGGCCCCGGCCCCGGCCCCGGCCCCGGCCCCGGCCCCGGGCGCTGCCCGCAGCACGGGCGGCCGCTGGAGCTCTTCTGCCGCACCGAGGGCCGCTGCGTGTGCAGCGCCTGCACCGTCGGCGACTGCCGCCTCCACGAGAGGGCGCTGCTGGACGCTGAGCGCCGGGAGCGCGAGGTGATGCCCGGTGCCCCCTGCTCTGTGCGCAGCTGGTGGTCAGAAAACAGATGCCCGAGCTGGGGACAGGGCCCGGTGGGGGTGGGGTGAGGAGCTGAGGGGCGAGGCTAAGGGCCGTGCAGGTGAGGCGGTCAGGAGCCAGAGCCAGAGGTCAGGAGGTGGCCCCCTGGCTGCCCAGGTCTCAGGGAGCAGGCCTGGGTGAGAATGCTGGTTGGCACAGAGATGGGCACTGAGCGTGAGGGTTGGCAGGGCCAGTAGATGAGGGATGGGGACAGGCGGTGTGCCAGGGGAGGGGGTTCGCCAGAGGAGGGAAGGGAAGGAGGGCTGCTGGGGGTGCTCTGAGGGAGTCAGATGACCCACTTCCTGCTCAAGCCTGGACTCAGGGAGATCGGATGGCGTTGGCCACCCTGTCAGCCTCTCTCACCACTTCCTCGTCCGGGAGTGGGGATCGCACCATCCTCACCTGGGTGTGTGGCTGGAGGAGAGGACGCCAGACAGCTGCTTGGCCAGGTGCAGGGACGCAAGTCCTGGCGGCGGGCGTTCTCCCTTACGTTTCTGTCCTGAGGTGACGCAGGGGGCACCGCCACACAGGAGTGCCCTCCTCCCCTCGTGCCCCTGGTCAGCCTCACGGGGGCGGCACGAGGAGGGGACACTTCACAGCCAATGCTGGCCCCTCTTGTCCCCCGTCCCTGGCCCCGGTGGGCACCACAGGCCCAGCTGAGAGCCGTGCTGGAGGTCACCCGGCAGCAGGCCACCCAGGCCCAGAGCCAGCTCCAGGAGCTGCAGCAGCGGAGCCACCAGATCCAGGTAGCGGCCTGCCTGGCCCGCCCCCGCTTCCTGTGCTCTCCCTGGGACCCTGGGCGGCAGGTCTGACCACCTCGAAAATGCCTCCTGGCATCAGACGGCGAGGGGCTGGCGGGGGGAGAGAGGCTCCGGGGACCCCATCTCCCCATATCCGCACCCCTCAGCCCAGTGGGCGGCGGCCGCCCGGCCACCCAGGCTCCTCTGTGCCCACCCAGAGCTCGGCCCGCACCCTGGCTTCCGTGGTCTCTGGCAAGTTCGGCAGCCTGCTGCGGGCGCTGGAGCTGCGGCAGACCCGGGCCCTGCGGGGCATCGAGGCGGCCAGGGCGCAGGCCCTGGCACAGGCCCAGGCGGAGGAGCGGCGGCTGCAGGGCCACCTGGAGGCCGCGGCCGCCTTTGGCCTCAGGGCGCGGGACCTCCTGGAGCAGCCGGACGACCGAACCTTCCTCCAGGTACCGGGGCGGCGGGCGGCGGGCCGAGGGGCCGGGGCGCCTGCCCCTTGCTCCCGGCTCACCGCGGCTGCCCCGGACTCAGGCGTCACAGCTCCTGGCGCCCCCAGGGCCTCTCGGGACGCTGACCCCTCCGCAGTGGGATGCTGACCAGCAGCTGGACGGCCTGAAGGGACTTCTGAGCCAGCTCTGTGGCCTCCTCCTGGACAGTGGGGACCCCCGCGGGGCCCCAGCCGAGGCGGCTGACTCAGGTCCCCCGGGTAAGGCTGACCCCGCATCTCTCCCTCCCCCCGAGGGTGGGAGTGGAATCAGGGCCCCTCCCCCCCCAACACTGCTTTGCCCCCTAGAGACCCCAGGCGCCCTGGCATTGGTCCCAAAACCGGTGTGTCCGCTGAGGAGGAAACTCTGGCAGAGTAAGGAGGCCCAGCACATGTGTGTGCACCTGTGTGTGCGCGTGAGTGCATTGTGGATACGGGTGTGTACACATGCACCGTGAGCACGTGTGTGTGTACACGTGTGTGTGTGTGTGTGGCACGTGCTATGACTGCCCCGTCCATGCCCTTCCCTGGTCTGGCCTCGCCCCCGGAACCCCTGTCGCGGGAGACACACCTCTTAGGCGCGGAGCCGGTATAGTGTTCGAGGGGTCTGGGCGCACAGAGCTGGATCGGGCCTGCTCCTGGCACTGCTGTCAGTCAGTCCCTCTCTGGGCCTCCGTCTTCTCACCTGGGAAACGAGGCTGAGGCCGGTTCTGCCTCAGAGGCCGCCGCCGGGACGGAGCGCCCAGGGGGTGGACACGCACAGGCACCTTCGCTCACCTCCGGTCCGTCTCCCCAACAGGTTACCGCAACCTGACCTTCGACCCGGAGAGTGCCAACCGCCACCTTTACCTGTCTCGGCACGGCCGGCGGGTGGAGCACCGGCGAGAGCCCCGCGGCCCAGCCGGGCCCGGCAGCTTCGAGCTCTGGCAGGTGCAGTGCGCCCAGAGCTTCCAGTCCGGGCGGCACTACTGGGAGGTGCTCGCGTCGGGCCACCTGGTGACGCTGGGCGTGGCCTACCCCGGCCTGGCACGGCGCCGGCGGGGGCCCCTCACCGACAACATCGGCCGCGGGCCTGGCTCCTGGGGGCTGTGTGTGGAGGAGGACGGTGCCCAGGCCCGGCACAACGGGGAGGTCCGGAGCCTCCGAGCGGTGCCAGGGATGCTGCTGGGCGTGGACTTGGACCTGGCCGCTGGTTGCCTCGCCTTCTACGGCCTGGAGCCCGAGACCCAGCTCCTGCACACCTTCCACGCCATCTTCACCCAGCCCCTGCGCCCTGTCTTCTGGCTCATGGAGGGGCGGACGCTGACCCTGTGCCATCGGCCTGAGGCCGGGCTCCCCCCGGGGCGCCAGGGAGAGGCCTCGGGGCTCAGCTGACGGGGGCGCAGGTGACCTGGCCTGAGTGCCCCGGAGCCGCCCTCGCCCCTGGCCTGGGGGCCAGAGGCCACAGCTATCGTGGGGCCGGCTGCTGGCCAGCAGACCGGCTCAGGGTGAGGCTGGGCCCCTTGTGCGGGTGGAGGGACCCCCACCCTGGAGTTAGCTTCCCGGCCTCTCTGAAAGGGGACGGGGACTAGGAATGGAGTGACACGGGAGGCCCCTGCCCCAGGCAGAGCCCGGTTCCAGGGCTGCGTGGGCGTCAGAGGCAAAGGCAGGCCCCGGGACCCTGGTCCTACAGGACGGCCCAGGCAGCGAGGGACACGCCACAGACCGCGGCTCCAGCGAACCTCCCCCCGAGGCTGTGGGCAGGGGAGCTTGGGGTGTGGGAGGGAACCGCAGACTATTCCTGAAGACAATCTAGAGAAAGGTGGTTTTTACCTCCTCCTCCCCTACCTCTATCTCTCTTCTTTTTTCCTTAACATTTTTTTAAAGTTCTTTTTTTTTTCTTAGTATGTTTTTATTGACTCAGAGAGGGAGAGGGAGCGAGAGATAGAAACATCAATGATGAAAGAGAATCATGGATCAACTGCCTCCTGCACGCCCTCCCCCACCCACTGGGGATCAAGCCCACAACCAGGCATATGCCCTTGACCCGAATCGAACCCGGGACCCTTCGGGCCGCAGACCGATGCTCTAGCCACCTAGCCAAATCAGCCCGGCTTTCCTTACCATTTTGCTATATTCTAACCTCTTTTATTTTGCACATCCTGGGGGCTGCCACTCCATACACAGTTGTGTTTTATCCATTTTTTATTGAACGTAAGCGTTTTTACATTATAAAAAATTGTGTCCTGGACGATGATCCTATAAACAGTCATTCTCGTGGCTATGGGGGTTTTATGGACCCACTAGGGGACATTCAAGCTCATGGATTCGGGCTCATGAAGACATGGCCGTGGGGAGTGTTTCTGAGCAGGGCAGGGCGTCGTCCCAGTATGCCAAGGCATCGTCCCAGTATGCCAAGGCTGTGGGTTCGCTCTCCGGTCAGGGACACACCGGAATTAGCCAGTGAACGCGTCAACACATGGAAGAGCAAACCAGTGCTTCTCTCCTGAAAATAAATCTTTCTGAAGGATAACACATGCAGACGCCCCCAAACGTACAGAATATGTATCTGCTGGCCGTGTGTCACCCTCCCACACGGACGTCTGGCCTCGGTCACTGCCACGGTGCAAACCCCGTCTGCTGGCCTTGCTCCTCAGCCGTGTGGCTCTCTGGCCAAGGCCAGGGCCCGGCCTCTGATCAGTACAGCCTGGGCAAGGAGCCCCAGTCAGATTCCTACGGTGTGAGGAGTTCCCCAAACTTGGGGGGACCCGGTGGGGGAGGGATCTCACCCTGGCAGCCTGACAGAGAGCCGGAGGCCCCAGGATCTCACTGAACAGCTGTCCCCCGTGGGGAGGAAGCAGGACTGGGCTGGCCACGCGGCCGTCACTGCTGGCTACCCCGGGGTACACCTTCCACCCATCCCTCCTCATCCGAGGGCCCCCCCATGTCCAGCCGGCTGAGCCCACACTCTGACAGGGTCAGCGCAAGGGAGACTGGCTCCCTTTCGGCTCCGGAGCCCGTTAGCCTGTGAATGTGCTTTCTCAGGGGGTGTCGGTCCTCCCCATGCAGCTCGGTGGGAGTGACCGAACCTTTATGCCACGTGACAAGGTGCTCCTGCCCCTTCTGCAGCGGGAGCCAGCCGTGCTCCTCTGGGGCTGGGGACAAGCATTTGCAAGCCCCTCGGAGAGCTCCCGCTTGGTCTTCCCGGCGGTGGCAGAGAAATGGCAGAGAGGGGAACGAAGCAGGGGCGTTGGGGAGTCACATCTGACCAGCGTGGGTGTTTCCAGCACTCCTGCCGCCCAGCTCACAGGCCTGGGCGTCTGGGTGGCAGAATCAGGAGGAGGGACGCACAGGCAGAACAAGACAGACCCGTACAGCCCAGGAGATATTGTCAATCCTGTCTAACAAAAGGGTAATAGGCAAGTTCACTGTCACTCCATCACAAAGATGGTGGCGCCCACAGCCACAAGACGGCGGTGCCCAGTTCTCAGCCCCGCCGGAGGCCCCAGTCCTGGGGGCGGCCACGGAGGGGGGCGGCGTGAGCGAACTGGCTGAATGCTTGCTTCGTTGCCCCGGCGATGAGGCACCGTCCCGCGCCTGGCCACAGATGGGCCTCTGGGCTGCGGGCACGGAGCGGCCAGGCCCCGCAGAGAGTGACTGGCGCACGGATCCGTGGGCAGGGCTACCAGTATGGAGGTAGCTAAGTATAGTGCCAGGTGGGTCATGGAATTATAGGGGGGGACACTTTGTAAAGTATATGATTGCCACCTGAAACGAATACAAAACAATAATAAAAAGTTTGAATTAAAAAACTGAAAAATAGCCCTAGCCGGTTTGGCTCAGCCTGCGGACCAAAGGGTCCCAGCTTCGGTTCTGGTTCAGGGCAAGCACCTTGGTTGCAGGCTCCTCCCCAGCCCGGGCCCCGGTGGCTGGGGCTCATGCAGGAGGCAACCAGCGGATGTGTTTCTCTCACGTCGATGCTTCTCTCTGTCTTTCCCCCTCTCTTCCACTCTGCCTAAAAATCCATGGGGAAAAATATCCTCAAGTAAGGATTAACAACGAAACAACAACAACAAAAAACACTAAAAAGTAAATCTTTTAGAGGCTTGAGGGGCTGGTGGAGTTGGAGGGAGTTGGGCTGAAGGTCAGAGAGGTGAGGGGTAGAGAGGAGGCGGCTCTCCCCCAGGCAGGACGGGGAGGAAGGGAGCAGCACAGCAATCGTAGGAAACGCAGCTCCAACTCGGGGGACTGGGAGCTGGGAGACAATGGAGCCAGGCCTTGGAGATTCGGAGAGGAAAGGATTTCCATTCTAGAATCCCATACCCAGCCAAGCTGTCAATCAAGCTGAAGCCTGAACAAAGACCCTCGCAGACACTTCCCCACCCCTTCTCAGGAAGCCCCCAGAGGACTTGTCAAAAGCAAAGAAGTAAATCAGTGAAGGGAAAGGAAGGTCTGGGATCCAAACAATGGACTTCGACATGAAAGGCAAGTGAATGAGAACGTACATCTCCAGGAATCCAGCACCCACACAGGCTCACCGCTCTCGAGGGCATACTTGAGAGTGGAGGTAACTGCTGACAGGAACTGGCTGGCTGTGGGAGCAAGAATCCGGGGTGTGAGGGGCACAGGACTGCCAGCTTTTATTATCCTAAGCTTCGTTACACGAAACCTTTTAGGTACTCTGTCTATTATTTGAAGTAAACACATACTGTTCTTTAAAACTTCTCCAAGCCGAAACCGGTTTGGCTCAGTGGTAGAGCGCCGGTCTGCGGACTGAAAGGTCCCAGGTTCGATTCCAGTCAAGGGCATGTACCTTGGTTGCGGGCACATCCCCGGTAGGGGGTGTGCAAGAGGCAGCTGGTCCATGTTTTTCTCTCATCGACGTTTCTAGCTATCTCTTTCCCTTCCTCTCTGTAAAAAATCAATAAAATATATATTTTTTTAAAAAAAAAAACTTCTTCAAAAGATGTGGGTCCCATTTCAGTTTCTTGCAAAGAAACAAGCAGAGTGAGGCTGGCGTGTTCATGCCTCGCCTTGGCTGGGGTGCTTCTGCTTGTCCATTTTTGCTTCTGGTTGGCTTTTGTTTATTTATTTTTAATATATTTTATTGATTTTTTGCAGAGAGGAAGGGAGAGGAATAGTGAGTTAGAAACATGGATGAGCCGAAGCCAGTTTGGCTCAGTGGACAGAACATCGGTCTGCGGACTGAAGGATCTCGGGTTCGATTCCGGTCAAGGGCATGTACATTGGTTGCAGACACATCCCCAGTGGGGGGTGTGCAAGAGGCAGCTGGTCGATGTTTCTCTCTCATCGACGTTTCTAGCTCTCTATCCCATTCCCTTTCTCTCTGTGAAAAATCAATAAAATAAAAATAAAAAAAGACAAGCTTCTATTTAAAAGAAAGAAAGAAAGAAAGAAAGAAAGAAAGAAAGAAAGAAAGAAAGAAAGAAAGAAAAGTTGATGAGAGAGAAACATCGATCAGCTGCCTCCTGCACACCCCCTTCTGGGGATGTGCCCGCAACCATGGTACATGCCCTTGACCGGAATCGAACCCGGGACCCTTCAATCCACAGGCTGACGCTCTGTCCACTGAGCCAAATCAGTGAGAGCTCTATTTATTTCTCTTTTTTCCTTTTTTTTCTTTTTAAATATATTTTATTGATTTTTCACAGAGAGGAAAGGAGAGAGACAAAAAGCTAGAAATGTCGATGAGAGAGAAACACCGACCAGCCGCCTCCTGCACACCCCCCACCGGGGATGTGCCCGCAACCAATGTACATGTCCCTGACCTGAATTGAATCTGGGACCCTTCAGTCCACAGACCGACGCTCTACCACTGAGCCAAACCGGTTTCGGCAGCTTTATTTATTTCTTAAGCAGTCCTGCAACCAGACAGGCGTATCGATCGGGCTCAGAGTTATTTTCAGCCTGCACCTTCCGGGTTTAAATTCTTCCTCCTCTGCAGGACTAGCTGTGCGACCTGTGGGAATTCCACTTCCCATGCCTCTCGCAGTCCTTGTAAGGGGAGAGACGGAGAGGCAGGCAGGAGCATGCTCCAGCGGAGCTCCAAGTGCCAGTTCCCTCTCCCTCAGAGCCAGCTCACTGAGAAGGAATGACCATCCTGGGCAAACAACTCTAAAGCTAAGATAACGCAAATAGCTATCAAAATGCTATCCCCCTGATGAACCAAATCGCCATGCCTTCCTGGGAGAGCAGATCTCCCTGAACAGGCTGTGGGCAAGGAGGCAGAGGGCCAGCTGGGACCACCCCTGACTCCCCCCAACCCGAAAGGCACCCCTTCCCCCTCCAGAATCAGGCAGGCCTGTGGTCCCCGCCAGCCCAGGAGCCGGGTGGCGCCCTGCCTCAGCCTCTGAGCTGCTCCTGGTCTTGGCAAATAAGGGACCTTCAGGATCAAGGGCTCCTGTGGAAACTGGCGTCTGGAACTCATTACCCGCCTTCCCGCCCAGGCCGGCCCGCCCAGGCCGCTCCCTCGCTGTCCTTCCGCCCTGAACATCTCTTCCCGCCCGGTCCTAGCCGCCAGTCTGCCAACGCCCAGCTCCAATGTCACTTCCTCCAGGAGGGCCTCCCTGATTCCCGCCTTCGTCATCAATCCCCCCAGCGGGCGTGGAGGGCGCCTCTCTGGCAATGTTTCCTGGATCATAGCTTTCTTTCCCTCCACAAACCACCCCCACCCCCACGGGGCCGGGAGATGCCAGGAGGCTCTCCACAGCATATTTCCAAAGCACACATTCGCACCCGGGGCCTTGCGGGGAGAGCCTGGCTGTTTTCCTGGTCCTCTAGCTGACCGAGCATCTCTCTCTGTTGTGAATGGAGAGCACACACCACAAAGCTACCAGCAACTCCGATGACTCGGCACCAACAGAAATTGCAGGCAGTTTCAGAGCATGTTGCCATGGTGACAGAGAAGTTGGCATCTTCTTAACAGCACACATAGCCGGCCGACGTGGCTCAGCAGCGGAGCACTGACAGATGAACCAGGGGGTCAGGTTCGATTCCCGTCTGGGCACATGCCCGGTCTCAGCCTCTATCCCCAGTGGGGGTGGTGCAGGAGACAGCCAGTCAATGATTCTCCTATCAACCATGTTTCCATCTCTCTCTCCCCCTCTCCTTTCCTCTCTGAAACCAACAAAATTATTTTTAAAAATATATATTAAAAAAATAAAAGCATTGGGGAAGAGGAGGAAGCGGAGGAGGCCGGGCCGGCAGCGTCGCGAACACGAATTCTCAGTTTCATAGACGTAGGTTAGGCACCTGCAGGGGGCCGTGCCGGGGAGGGGGCGGGGGAGAAGGGGCGCTGCGCTGGGCAGGGCCCCAGATGAAGCAGAAATTAATTCTGAGCCTCCCAGCCTTTACGCGAGAAACGAGATCATTGTGGGATGTGCTTCAAGGAAGGGTGGTTTATAGATGAGTTGAGATCGGGCTTGTATTGATAGGTGAAGCTGGGTAATGGGAACCTGGGGTGTGTTACAGTTCTGCACTTTGCTGTCTGTAATTTTCCATAATAAAAGTACTTATAAGTAAAAAATGGGAAAAAAAATAAAAGCATTACATACAATAATTTATTACGTACAATAAGTTACTTTAACTGCATAGCGAGATGAGTCTTAGCAAATGCCTCCCCTCGGGGACCCCCAGCCCCAGGCACACCACAGGCGCCCACGCGTGTCCATGGACCAGAACCGAATTCTTCAAACAGGGCCTGAGAAAAAGACATTCACTTCCCGTTACAGGGTTAGAAACGCCCCAAGTTCCCCTTGGGGGGATGGGGAGGGGAGTGTAAATGGAGTCACTAAAGGGCACAAACAGCGCACATCAGCCGTTTTTCCTCTGCGTCAGCTGCTCGTAGCTGAGCTAACGGCCAGAGAAGGGGGCTGGGCTGGAGGTCACAGGTGCGGGCTGAGCCCCGCTGCTGCACCCCTGGGGCGGTTGCAGGGACATGGAGGGTGACCTCCTTCCCAGCTTCCTTCCAGCGTGCTGCCCTCGGCCCTCTCTCTCTCTCTCACCTGGCAGCAGCGCCGCCCCTCGGACCCGGGCCCAGGCGGACCCATCGCCCAGGAGCCCTCGAAGGCCCGGCAGTCAGAGGGGGCGGGTGTCAGGCCCGGGGCCGGCGCTGGGGGCGGTCCGAGCGGGGCGGGGCGGGGCCGGGGCGGGTCGGCCCCGGGCGGAGCGGCCCGGTCCCTCCCGGCGGGAGCGGCGCAGGCGGCGCGGCGGCCGCGGAGCCATGGACGGCGGCGGGCCCTTCGGCTGCCCCATCTGCCTGGAGCCGCTGCGGGAGCCGGTGACGCTGCCCTGCGGCCACAACTTCTGCCTGGGCTGCCTGGGCGCGCTCTGGCCGCAGCGCGGCGCGGGCGGCGCGGGCGGCCCCGGGGGCGCGGCGCGCTGCCCGCTGTGCCAGGAGCCCTTCCCCGACGGCCTGCGGCTCCGCAAGAACCACACGCTGTCCGAGCTGCTGCAGCTGCGCCAGGGCGCGGGCCCCGGGCCCGGCCCGGCCTCCGCCCCGGCGCCCGAGCCCGCGCCCGCGGCCCCCAGCGCGCCGCCCGGCGGCCCCGAGCCGTCCGCCCCCTGCGCGCCCGAGCCCTGGGCGGCGGGCGCCGAGCCCGTGCGCTGCGACGCGTGCCCCGAGGGCGCCGCCCTGCCGGCCGCGCGCTCCTGCCTCGCCTGCCTCGCCTCCTTCTGCCCCGCGCACCTGGGCCCGCACGAGCGCAGCCCCGCGCTGCGCGGACACCGCCTGGTGCCGCCGCTGCGCCGGCTGGAGGCCAGCCTGTGCCCGCGCCACCTGCGGCCGCTGGAGCGCTTCTGCCGCGCCGAGCGCCGCTGCCTGTGCGAGGCCTGCGCCCAGGAGCACCGCGGCCACGAGCTGGTGCCGCTGGAGCAGGAGCGCGCGCTGCAGGAGGTGGGCCCCTGGGACGGGGCGGGCGGCGGGGGCCTGGGGTCCTGGGTCCCCCTTTGCTCCCCCCACCTCCCCACCCTCCCCATCCTCCTCATTCTGTCCATGTTCCCCTGGGAGCTGAGGAGCCGCGCTGCCCCTCCCGTGGCTGTGGGGCATTCCGCCCGCGATCGGCTGGGCTGGGGGGAGGGCACCCAGTGGGAACGGGGAAAGGACGCGGAGGGTGGGCAGGGGGCCTGACGCCCAGGCGGGCCCGTGGGGGTCTAAGGCCGGAGGGACCTGGATTAGGCCCTGCGGCTCCGGGGCCGCTGGCTCCCGGGCAGACGGGTGTGGCGAGCCCCCGGGCAGGGCCCGAGGGCACACAGCAGCGCTCTGTGCCGCCGTTGGGGGCCGTGGTGGGACCATGTGCGCGGGCCTTCCTGCTGCCTCCGCCCCAGTTTCTCTTGGCCTCCAGCCCGGTCTTGGCGCTTTGGCCTCGGGATTTTCCGTGTCTCCAAGCCGGAGCCGCCGTGACTCATAAGACCCAGGGGATTTGCCCGGGGTCCCGGTTTTCAAGGCCTGGAGTGGGGACAGGGGTCCCAGGACAGCTGAATGGCCGCTTGTGTGGTCCCTACGCTCTCCATTCTCTGCCTCCTCTCCGCGGAAGGAAGTTCTCAAACGAATGTGACATTGAGGACCCGGATGGCCCTGGGCTTGCTCACACTGGTCAGAGGGAGGCAGGCAGCCCCTCTCCGGGTGGGTCTCAGCCTTCCTAACGCCTCGACCTCTAATCCAGCTCCTCAGGTGGTGGTGACCCCATAGGGAGCTGGATTAAAGGGTCCCACATTAAAAAGACCGAGAACCACGGCTGACACGCTGCCCTCCCGCATACTGTGTCACGGCCACTCCAGTCCCACCGCTGCACCCATACCACTGCCACGCACCCATACCACTGCCAGGCACCCATACCACTGCCACGCACCCATACCACTGCCACGCCGCCCCGTCCTGCCCGGGGTGAGGCCCGGGGCCCCGGGGCAGGCTGTGGCCGCTGCCAGGCTCCTCGCTCACGAAGCTGTCGCCCGCAGGCCGAGCAGCCCAAGGTGCTGAGCGCCGTGGAGGACCGCATGGATGAGCTGGACGCCGGCATCGCCCAGTCCCGGCGGACCGTGGCCCTCATCAAGGTCAGCCCTGACCCTGACCCCGACCCCGACCCCGTCCCCTCCTGCAGGAGGCTCCCGGCGCTGTGAGCTCGCAGCGTGGGCTGGTCTCCTCCCAGGCGGCCTGTGCCCAGGCATTGCCCAGTCCCACTGAGTGCCTCCCCCGACCGGGCATAGGCCCTGGGCGGGCCCTGCGTGCCTGCAGAGGCTGGCGGGAGGGGGGTCTGGAAGGACGGGGCCCAGGCAGTGACGTCTGGCCCCCGGCCGCTCCGCTGTCCGGGCAGAGCGCAGCCGCGGCCGAGCAGGAGAGGGTGAGCCAGCTGTTCGCCGAGGCGGTGGCCAGCCTGCGGGAGTTCCAGAAGGAGGTGCTGGGCTTCATCGAGGAGGGGGAGGCCGCCATGCTGAGCCGCTGCCAGGGCGACCTCCGGCGGCAGGAGGAGCAGCGCAGCCGGCTGAGCCGGGCCCGCCACAGCCTGGGCCAGGTGCCCGAGGCCGACGCCGTGAGCTTCCTGCAGGTGGGCCCCCCCACCCCCCGGGGACCAGGGGGGCGGGGGCGGGGGGGCAGAGGAGACGGGGCGGGTGCCCAGCCTGCGGGGCTGTGCCAGCTCCCCGGGCTGTCTCACCCGGCTGGGAGGCACTGCGGCGCGCAGGGCAGGGCCTTCATGGGCGTGTGTGTGGCACAGGAGCTGCTGGCACTCCGGCTGGCGCTGGAGGAGGGGAGCGGCCCCGCGCCCGGCCCCCTCGGGGAGCTGGGCTTCACCAAGTCCTCGCAGGCCGTGCAGGCGGTGCGCGAGGCGCTGGCCGCGGCCTGCACCAGCCAGCGGGGGCAGCTGCGGGGGCTGAGCGGTGACGAGGACGCGCCGCACAAGCTGCGCCCAGAAGGTGGGTGCCCCCTCCGTGTGACTCACCTTCCCCGGGCCTTCTCCCAGCCCCAGGCCCGGCGCCCAGCCGGGGGCAGAGGATGGAAACTGCCCGTGCTGGGCGGGACCCACTCCCTGCCGCCGCCCCCAATGGCCAGCCGGCCGTCGGCCGCGGCCAGCAGGGCGGGCGGGAGGGGCTCCTCCCTGTCACTGCAGGGGGGCGGGGGTCCAGGGGCAAGGGGGGCAGAGGTGTGAACACGGGGCACCCTGCTTGGGCGGTGTGCCCGTCCCAGGAGGCTCGGCTTGCTGGGATGAATGGGGGGAAGAGGGAATTGGGGTCACGGCTCTGGAAATTGGGGAGCAGCCCCGTCCCAGGTTGCTGGCAAGACACCCCCCCTTCACCCCCCCTGCCCCGTCTCTGCAGCCAATGATGAGTCCCAGGACCCAAACAGCAGCGGCCACCCGGACAGCGAGGCGCCCAGGGACTACTTTCTCAAGTGTGAGTTCACCCGGGCTCGGCCCTCTGGTGGCCGCAGGGCCGGCTGGCCCTGGACCCCGCCCTCCGCCCTCGCCCGCGGGGTGCACTAGGCCAGCTCACGGGGGCTCCCCGGCAGGGCTGAGTAGCGCTGGCTGCAAAGGGGGGAGGGGGGGCGAGGCCGTGTGCGGGGAGGCGGGCGCCTAGGGGAGGGGGTCCGCTCTGGCCTTGCCCCTGAGCCCCCCGTCTCCCTCTCTCTCAGTCGCCTACATCGTGGACCTGGACAGCGACACGGCGGACAGGTTCCTGCAGCTGTTCGGGACGAAAGGCGTGAAGCGGGTGCTGTGTCCCATCAGCTACCCCGAGTCGCCCGCCCGCTTCACGCACTGCGAGCAGGTGCTGGGCGAGGGCGCCCTGGACCGGGGCACCTACTACTGGGAGGTGGAGATCATCGAGGGCTGGGTCAGCGTGGGGGTCATGGCCGAGGGCTTCTCCCCGCAAGAGCCCTACGACCGGGGCCGGCTCGGCCGCAACGCCCACTCCTGCTGCCTGCAGTGGAACGGGCGCGGCTTCTCCATCTGGTTCTGCGGGCTGGAGGCGCCCCTGCCCCACGCCTTCTCGCCCACCGTCGGGGTCTGCCTGGAGTATGCCGACCGGGCCCTGGCCTTCTACGCCGTGCGGGACGGCAAGGTGAGCCTCCTGGGGAGGCTGAAGGCCACCCAGGGCTGCAGCAGCCCCCTCGGCGACCACTTCCAGAGCGTCGTGAACAGAAACTTCCGCGGGCTCTTCCAGAAGCCGCTGAAGCCCGCCTTCTTCCTGGAGAGCGTGGACGCCCACCTGCAGATAGGGCCCCTCAAGAAGTCCTGCATCTCGGTGCTGAAGAGGAGGTGAGGCCGGCCTCGCCGCCGCCGCCGCCGCCCGGCTCCTGGCGTGCGCGCCTCCCGCCGCCCTCCGCAGCCTCGTTTCCGGCCTCCCACCTCCCAGACCTCCCCGCCGCTCTGCAGGCCTTGTTTCCGGGAGAGAGAGCTGCAGCAGGGCAGAGCCGGGCTACCCCAGCCTCCAGTTTCCAGTGCCCAGGACGGTGCCTGGCACATAGTAGGTGCTCAATAAACATCAGTTGAATGAATGACTCCTCCGTGCTCTCCACCCGCCAAGAATTTCTCATCTTTCAAGAGCCGGTCTTGAGAGGCAGGAGAGGGGAACAGAGTCCCTGGTCCCAGGATTCCTGTTGGAGGGAGGGAAGGGGGTGGGGGAGCCCAAAGAGGGGGCTGCAGTGGGGTGCCTGCCCCTTTGGGGCAGCCCTACTCCCTGGGTGCGGACGGGGGCAGCTGGAGCTGGCCTCTCCCGGGGGGGCCAACCCACGGTCATTCCGGCTGCCCACGTGTTTGCTTTGCTGGCCTGGCTCCCACCGGCTCTTCTCATCCTGAATGCCACGGCCTCGCTCTGGACCTGCCAGTGGTGTTTGTGCCCAGGACTAAAGGCAGACAGCACCCCCCCCCCCGGCCCCCCACCCCGCCCCCGAGAACAGGACACGGCTCCTGGGCGCGGGCAAGAAGGCTGGAGACCTGGGTTTCTTTCACTCACACACCTTCTCAGCCCAGGAGAGGGGTGGCTGAGTTCCCCCGGTTTGGCTGGAGCCCAGGACATGTCCAGTGAAGGGACCTGTGTCCCCTGGACTCTGCCTCGCCTCCTGCGCCCCACGGGGCCCTGGGACAGTGCTCAGCCTCCAGGCTGGGGAGACCCGTGCCTCCGCTGCTCTGCCTGGAAGGCCCCCTGCCCCCTGCTGCTCCCAAGTCCCCATCGTGGCCTGGGTGCCCCAACCCTGCTCCCTGAGGCTGCGGGGGAGTGCTTCCAGGCCAGCTGCCCTCCCTCGGTCTTTGCGGCCCAGGGGCACCCCAGGGAACCCCCAGCAGGAAGGGCCAGGGCACAGGAGGCCGCCGCACCCGGCCCAGGTCAGAGGGGACAATGGGAGAGTTATGCAGCCAGACAGCAAGGCCATACAAGTCCTGCCCTGGCTGCCTCAGCGGCTAAAAATAGTCCCTCCTGCCTCAGCCCGCAGCCAGGATGTTGTTTTTCTGGGCGGGCCCTCCGTGCTTCTGTGTTTTGGGTTCAAAACACGGTTCCCTAGGCAGCCAGGCCCCAGCTCACCAGGCGCTGGGGCCCAGGAGGGAGGCGGCTCCGTGGCCCCACGAGGTGGGCCCGTGGGGCTTCCTAGTGTCCGCTCACCTGCGGGCCTCCCACCTTTCACCCCCCCGTGCCACCCACGCCACCCCTGCCACCCCTGCTCTGTCATCGCCCCCCTCCCAGGCGCCGGGCTTCCTGGTGGAATTCCAGTCCGACTTGTCAGGGCTGCAGCCGGCATCCCTGCCATTCGCAGTGATTCCAGCTCCCAACACCCATGTGGGTCACAGCCCACGCCGGGCAGGCACCCAGGCTACATGGCGGGCACGGGGCGGGCAGGTGGGCATGGCCCAGGTTTCAGGGTGGCCCCCACTCTGGGGTGTCCGCACGCCTGCCCTTCCTCTAACTCTGGGATCATGCTAGAGCTGGCGGGATGGCGTGTGAGAGTCTCTGTGTTTCTCTGTGTATCCGTGTGTCTGTCTGTGTGTCTAGGCATGTGTGTGCCATGTATGAGTGTGTATGTCTGCCTGTCCGCCTGGGTGTACGTCTGTATCTGTGTGTCTGAATCCAGTTGAACTTGTCAAACTGTTCTGAGAAGACCAGGAGTGAAGAGGTGGCCGAGGGGGGCAGGTGGCAGCTGGGAAGGGGCAGGGGGGAGGGCTAGACCCCCCCCACCCGCCAACACATGAATTAGATAGATTTTACTGAAGATTGCTTGGAGAGAAGAGGAGCTGTAAGAAGGAAAGTCAGACACCCCATGTAGTCCAAACCTTCTCTCTCCACCGTTCCCGTGGCTCCCCGGTCCCACACGCGTGCTCCATGCTCCACGTGTAGGTGTATCCTTGCTTAGAAATGTCTGAGCACATGCACGCACACACATGCACAAGCATGACTCTTTCCGGATCTCCAGGAGGGGGCGCGTTGCAGTAGCCTGTATAAGAGCTGCCCTGGGCCGGGCCCGGTGTGGCTCAGTGGATAGAGCGTCGGTCTGCGGACTGAAAGGTCCCGAGTTCGATTCCAGTCAAGGGCATGTACCTTGGTTGAGGGCACATCCCCAGTGGGGGCGTGCAAGAGGCAGCTGATGGATGATTCTCTCTCATCGATGTTTGTAACTCTCTATCCCTCTCTCTTCCTTTCTGTAAAAAATTAATAAAATATATTAAAAAAAAAAAAAAAAAAAAAGAGCTGCCCTGAGCCGGGCCCGGTTGCCATGGCCACCAGAGCCCTTGGCAGAGCTGCCCAGGATGTGTGGCCTCCGAGCTGCCCAGCGCAGACAATGGAGGAGAGTGTGAGGTCCTGAGCTGTCGCTGTGGCTGAGCCCGGCCCCTCCGGGCCAGGCGGGGAGCCAGCCTCCGCTTGCACTTTGTTTCTGTGGGAAAACGACTCCAGAATCTCCAACAACAGACCAAGCAACAGACTGGAGCATTGCTGCTCTCGGCAGCTGCGGACTGCTGGGTCCCGCACCCTGGGTCCCGCACCCTGGGTCCCGCACCCTGGGTCCCGCACTCCTCCCCGCTCCCAGCCCCTCCGCACGCCCCCGGAGGGCGAGGCAGACCCCATCTCCACCCTTGTCCTCCCCTCTCGGCCCCCTCCTGCCCCTCCTCCCAAACCCAGCCTGTGGCCAGCAGCAGGCTGTCCGGGAAGGTGGGCGGAGCTGGGAGGGGCTGAGGTCCAGAGGCCCTGCTGGGCTGGGCCGGGCTGGTTTCCCGGGAGGAAAAGAGCTCTTAGCTGCAGGGTCTGCGTCAAACCCAGCCCCACGCCCAATGCACACGCACACGCATACACGCACACACATGCACGCGCACACATACACGCGCGCACACACACACACGTATACACACACGCACACACATACACGCACACACATGCGCACACACACATACATGCCCTTCGATGCCAGCATTCACGCCCTTTCGAAGTCTCCTCTGGCAGATGCATGAGAAGGGCTGGAACCGAAACCGGTTTGGCTCAGTGGATAGAGCGTCGGTCTGCAGACTGAAGGGTCCCGGGTTCGATTCCGGTCAGGGGCATGTACCTTGGTTGCGGGCACATCCCCAGTGGGGGGCGTGCAGGAGGCAGCTGGTCCATGTTTCTCTCTGTCTCTCTCCCTTCCTCTCTGTGAAAAAAATCGATAAAATATATTTTTTTAAGAAGAAGAAGGAGGGCTGGAGGCCGGGTGTCCCCTGGAAGCCCAGCCTATGTCCCCGGCCCTGGACAAGCGGCCGGATGGCGCTCACACAGGACAGATTTCTGTCCCAGCGGAGCCGGAAGGCACAGCACCCTCCCGAGGTGCCTGCCATCGAAGGTCTTACCCTCGTGACAGAGGGCAGCTCTAATGCGTTTTTATTTAGAAGAAAAGACCAGCATCGGCATTTCTTTCTTTTTTTTTTTTTTTTTTTTTTTTTTTTTTTAAATATGTTTTATTGATTTTGTACAGAGAGGAAGGGAGAGAGATAGAGAGTTAGAAACATCGATGAGAGAAAGTCATCGATCAGCTGCCTCTTGCACACCCCCTACTGGGGATATGCCCGCAACCAAGGTACATGCCCTTGACCGGAATCGAACCCGGGACCCTTCAGTCCCCAAGCCGACGCTCTATCCATTGAGCCAAACCGGTCTTGGCGGCATCGGCATTTCTTAGGCCTGGGGGCTCCGGACCAAGTTCGTGCTGGACACGCCGGGGTGTCACGCAGCCGGGGGAGAGAGCTCGGTGACCCCCACGGCGGCGCCCCACGGTCGCGGCTGAGCTGTGGGCAGAGTGGCCGCCGCCAGCAGAGGCCCCAGGAGGCGGAGGGGAGCTGTTTGGGGCGGGTCCTGCTGGCCCGGGCATTCCGGGAACACACGTCCCTGCTTCTCCATCGGGAGGCAGAGCCAGGCCACGCTGGGGCTGTTTCTGGTTGCTATGGAGATGAGCCCCACCCGAGGCTCCCGGTCCAGACCTCCCCGCTCCATTTCCCCAGACGTAGCCGCAGGCCTGTTCCGAGGGGCCGGCTGCCCAGTGTTTACTGACCTGCTGTCCGGCTCACAGCTGCCTCCACAGCCCAGAGAGCCGGGGTCCCCGGGAGCCAGCCCTGCGGGCCCCTCCCTGCTAGTTCTGGGTCCCCCTTCCCAGAGCTGGGGCGCTCCTCTCCATCTACCCAGAAAGATCCAGTTGGCATGCCTCAGCCCCTCTCACCCTGTTTTCTTTCCTGAAACCCATTTCTCAGCTAAATCGCAGAGTGACCTCCCCCTTTCAGACTGGACGGCACTGCTCCCCCAGGTAAAAGCCAGCCATGGCTTCCCAGGGCTCCTAGGAAAAATCCGGAATCTGGCTGGTCTCTGTCCCTCCAGAACCGGCCTGCCTCCCCCGCGCCTCTCCCTCTCCTTCCTCCAGACTGGCCCTGGGCTGCGCTGGCCCCAGTCCACGCCCTGGCCCACTCTGCTCACCTTGCTAGCGCCTCCTGCAGACCTCAGCTGCCCCTTTAGATGGTCCTCTCTGAAAGGTCCGGGGGGTAGCTGCTGAGGTGCCCGTTGTCCCAGCCCTGCGGGTCCTGCATGGCAGCCTCCTTTCCCCCGGGGCCAAGCAGGGCTTGGGGACTGCACCAGACGCACATGCCTGGGTCGTGGGCTTGATCTCCAGGAGGGGGCGCGCAGGAGGCAGCCGATCCATGATCCTCTCTCATCATTGATGTTTTTCTACCTCCCTCTCCCTTCCTCCCTGAAATCAATACAAATATGTTTTAAAATATAAATCATCCTGCCATCCCCAGAGGTTGAGAACTACGTAAGCC